ATTTAGGTGAAATAAATAAAGTGGCACCTTTGGTTGGTTCTTGAAAACAATTCCGATTTCACTTCTTAACGAAAGAGTCTTGTCATTCATAGCAAAAAAAAAAAAAAAAACTACCAGCAGCGAGAAACTATTCAAGTGTTTGCAAGTCATCCACAGTTTTCACTACATGTGCTTGTGCCCCCATTTTTTTCCCTTACCAGTACTTTTCCATGTTTGTGCCAAACGTAATGATACCGTCTTGCCTTTGCCCATTCTCTCGTTTCCCAAAGAAGTGTTTTATCCTGGTGTGTCAAGTTTTCCAAGATGTATGCTTTGCTACGAACTCGCTTTAAGTTCCCTCGTTTCGTGAGCCACAGATCTCGAGTTGCTTGATTTGAAAAGCGAACTAAAATTCTGGGTATCTTATCAGGGAGCGAGGGAAGCCGATGCATGGCCATGATTTAATCTGCTGTCAAGTCGGGCACTTCCAGTTGCTTTGCTAGGTCATTTATCTCAGCCAAAAGGTTTTCCTCTTCGCTCATGGGGATCCCGTGTATTTCAAGGTTTTGTCTGCGGCTCCTCCATTCAAGGTCGTGAACTTCTTGTTTTAAAGGGGCACTGACACATCAAAATCATATTTTTTTTTTATTATTCGAAACGATTGAAAACGATGCCGGGACATTACCCTCAAAATTTGAAATTTGGGAATTCAGTATTTGTGAAGTAAAAAAATCAATTTCCAAATGCCTAATTCGAAGTTCCCGCTCGATCCGAGCCGGTGCGTTGACGTCAAATATTGCGGAGTCCTGACAGTCCACTTTCTTTCACGACTCCCTGCTGTTGCCATGGCGACCCAAAGCGAGGAGGAAAGGAGCGAGCGCCGGCGTTGCGGAGGACCGGTTTTGAGCGGTGTCGCCTGTATTCCGTGGGAGGATACATATCCAGGAGACGGCACCACAACGAACTCCCGATTTTAGGTATTTCAAAAAGAAAGGGCCGTAGTGCGTTCGCAATTGCGTTAAAAAACATGTTTTAGGATTGCCGTTATTAAATAAGGAATTGTAGTAGACCGTTTTTCTTCTCCGCTACGGTATCCGTGAAGAAAACGCCGCAGCTGCGCATGCGCGCCGCCAGCCTTGTCTGCATAGTCCAAGGTCTTGTGGCGGATTACGGAGCGCTATCCGGGTGCTTAGCGGGCTGCGGAAACGGTCTACTACAATTCCCCAATGTTATAGAGATGTCGCCTACAAATCTTCTAAATTTCATGATTCTTGACGTCGCAAATCAAAAGAAGCGAGGAGGCGAGAGGCGGGAGACTCAAACGCCAAAAATAAAAAGGCGCGCGCGCGTGCGAGAAAATATTTTTTTTGCGATGCGTTGTTTTTTTTGTTTTTTTTGCGTGTCTATGACTGCAACTTGCATCATTTTAGACAATAAAAAAAAACGATTTTTGGGGTGTCAGTGCCCCTTTAACGACCTCCGCTGTTGGTTCCGTTTTTTCCAAGTGCGTCACCCTTTTCTTTAAGTTTTTTTTTTTTTTTTTTTTTATTTTAGCGTTGTGTTCATCCACTGCATCATATTTCGCCGACATGTGCTGAAGTGATTGTTCCATGGCATCCACTGTTTCTTTTAACAGGGTGTCTAGTTTAGCGTTCATGCTGATCAGCATAGCAGCTACATCTAGATCTTTGTTTTGTTTGCTGCTCTGACTGCCTCGAGATTTGGCTATTTTACATGTCTGGCAGCGCCAGGTTTTACGTGACGCAACGCGCGAATCTTCCGGGACGCCAGAACACTGGCACTCCTCGCATGTGATTTGCAAGCCTCTTCCGGGAAGGCTTGACTGCAATTTAGACCATAGGCGTAGACTTCAAGGGGGCATCGGAGCTCGTGCCCCCCCCCCCCCCCCCCCCGGTAAGATCCGAGGGGAGGGGCAAAGCCCCCCCCCCCCCCCGGGCCCGGGCCATGATCCTTAGCGAGACAGTGTTTACGTGCCATGTAACGAGCTTCTAGTAGTGGCATGTAAACAAAATAACGCCCACGTTGCCTATATTGACAATATACATGAGATATGGAATCCCGGCGGGCTTTCGTTAGGCCCCCGCCCCCCCCCGGAAAATGGAAAATCTACGCCGCTGTTTAGACAGATATCTTTCGAGTCATCTGCCATGTTGGAGCATCCGTCAAGTATCGCAACACAGCAACAAATAACAGCACGAATTACAGCAGGAACAGCAGCAGCAGCAGCAGCAGCAGATGGTAAAGATAAATATCAGTTTGTACAAAGCAAAGCAGTACCAACCTGCAATGGGGAAAAAAAAAAAAAAAAAAAAAAAAAACGTTGCTTATATAGGTTTTAGCGTAACCTGCTGCCACTGAAGGGAGGAGGTGGCTGATTTATGGCAATAAATAAAAAAATAAAAAAAAAAAGGAGGAAGTGGCCGAGTGGGCTAACGCGTCTCAGCTCGGAGCGTGGAGCGAAAGCTTGCGCTGGGAACCTCCTGGGTTCGATCCCCGCCGCCCCCGCCCGTTTCGATCTGGATGAGTTTCGTACCGGCACGCGTTCGTGTGATCACTACTGCGTGATGCACGTTAAAAATCCCAGGTTAGCGGTTGTACCGCACTGGCTAAATTTCTCATCTACAGCTAAGAGACCGATTACCCGTTGAGGCGCATCTCCATCAAGGCTGTATAAACATAAAGAGCAAGCCAATTTTTGCTGCCACTGCCGCTGTGTCCCTCAGGGTCGAGAAACGCTGCGTCACTTCACGGGGCGTTCGTCGGTCGTCGTTGGCTAAATCATTCGCGCAGAGTGAGTGGCTCACACAATTATGCGTTCTTTCTGCCGCTTAGCCGGGAATAGTAAATGCATAAAAACAATAGGTGCCGCAACGATTTTTTTTTTTTTTTTTGCGTTTGTTTTTATATTTTGCAGGGGTTGTGGTGACGCCAGAACGCCGAGCTCTGATTGGTTCTGAATGAAGGATTGTGGGTAGACCTCAAAGGCAGCTCCTCATCACTTTTCAGTGCTGGCTCATTAGTAATTACCAATCTACTTCATTGCCCTTGTCGTTTAAGCGCGGAACGGATTGCACACTACCGTATGGGCCGCGCTTCAATTTAATTCTCGCAGTCTTGTAGTTTTGCTTTCGGAAACCCTCCTTGCTCCACAGCCTCGCTCTATTCGGGCTAACATGTGATACATTAGAGTAAATTTAGAACATACCCATGGTTCATAGTGCATATAAGAGCAACCGCGTAGATTGTTTTCCCCCTTTTATTGATAGCAACTCGCAGGAACAGCTGGACGATCCAGAACTCCATGGCCGACATAGGATGCAAAGACATCTATGCTCGACATAACTTCAAAACTTTGCCGCGGCGCCGATTCTTGATCGGTATCCAAGCGTGCGACGGCACGGAGTCGCAGCGCTTAGGCGTGCCAAGGAAGCTTTGATCACGCTGCGAGACCGGCGAAACTTGCTTTTCAAGTTCTGCCTTTTTCCAGCGGCACTGCGCTTCCGTAAAAATTTCCACGTGTTCTCAGCGGCAAGTTTCACGACTTACACAGTAACTTGTTCAGCGAATGACGACGAAAGAGTAGAAAACGTGCCTCCAGCACGCTGCCTTCCAGCCTCCGCAACGCTCCAAAAACGCGATTTTTCGACATGACAGATGGCCGTCTGGTGGCTGCACTCGCGGAGCGGGGATGCGCGATCCAGCAATTGTCATAGAGATCAGTGACCCCTACTCACTCCCCACCCAGGTGCAATAAATATAACTACATTGCTAAACTCGGGGCAGTCATTACTCGACTTTAATAATAATAAAAAAATGACTGAAGACCCCTAATTTGAGCAGCTCTACGCGCAGATATGTAGAACGACCATAAATGACTGCTCACAACTTCCACTGCATCACACACGCACAGATACAAAAAGAAAAAGGACAGGGATCTTGCATGTAAAATCTATCAAAGCTGCATGTACATAAGTAATTTGTCAGGGATCAATGATTGCAAAAGCTTCTGCAATCTGTCGTTTGCTATCATCGAGAGACCCTTGTTATCCTATAAAAGACAGTGTGCGAGGCTTTATTGGCTCAGTTGAGGTGGCCAAGCAGCGTGTCTACCTAATTTCCTTGCTCAAATTCTCCGACTTTTTAAATATTTTGAATATATTCCCTGACCATTACAAAAGCAGAAAATGAGGAGGGCGGAGTGTCAGAGGATTGTCTGGGCCCTTCCCGCTCAATCCGGTGAAGGCTTAAGCTGAATTAGCAATGCCTTGGGTAACTTACTCGGCGCCAAGGCCATCCATGCAACCGCACGCAACACCTACCCACTTTGTTGCGTGTCACCAGTGCCACCCACATCGCTCATTTTTCCTTGATTCAATTTTCTGACAATTCCCTCAATCTTCCAGGTGCCTTGAAATTCCCTGACAATTCCAAGTTTTCCAGGTTGGCAGACACCTTGCCAGGTCAATAATCCATCTGCCCCAATGCGGATAGAAACTGAGGAAGACGAGACAAGAGCATGTGGGGACCACAGAAGGCCGAGCTCTGGTTGGAATGATTAGTGGGTAGATGTAAAGCTAGCTGCCTGTGACTCTACTCACTCCTCCAACTAATTTGAACAGTGAGTAGAAACAAAGGCCTCTTGTTTACATCTACCCACTAACCATTCCAACCAGAGCTCAGCACTCTGTGGTCCCCACATGCACTCGTTTCGTCCTCTCCTTCAGTTTCTATCTATATTCACCTTTTAGAGGACATTAAGATCCCATCTTCCGAAATTGCGAATCTCGTCATGGGGCATAGAGTCACAAAGACAATAGAGATATCTCGAGGTTCACACTAGGTCACCTGCACATTTGAAACGGGGAACGTTTTCCCATTCCAGGTGCGACTTCAGGCGGCGCGTCTCAAAATAATGTGAAACTTCTTAGTGTTGGCAAAACGTGACAAATTACTTGGAGAGAAGTGACCCTTCAACCTGTTAAAAGAATAGAAAAAGGCAGTTTCTTTGTAAATACTTTTATTCTTGATTTAATGCACTCTTCATAGCAGTAAACAGTGAAAATAAATTTGTAGTACACATATTGGAGGCTAGATACCTAGTGAAAACAAAACTGACAGTTCGGTGGAAGTAATGAAGAATAAGTATGCTTTCAAAGCCCGATAAAAGTATCTAAAAAAGTTTATCACACTGCACCATAGAACCAGTTTACATTGCAGCCGTAATTTATTGGTGCCTCAGCAAGGCATAGAATTGCCTCTGGCAATTTCATTCTTGAATCCTGGCATTTTTTCTTTACCGACAATGACCACTAAAGCTTGCAGATATTTCTACCACATTAATTTGGAAAAGCGCCTGAAACTTCCAGAAAGCTTAAAGAATGTCAGTTTCATGGTGAAGGGGAGCAATCCCACCTCAGTTTTCTGTTGATTGTTAAACTCTACAATGATAAGTAACATGCACAGACAAATTTATCACACAACTACACCAGTCAAACAAAACTTTTTACTTTCACGATGAGATCACTCCAGAGTCCAGCTCGAGCATAAATTGGAACTAATGAAACAAGCATTGGTAGTTATCGATAGAAAATAATCTAAGAGCAAATATTTGTACCAAAAGCTGCAATGCTGTTGATCAAGCAAAACCTAGCCTTCAGCTAAAATTTTAGTATGGCTAAAGCTAAATTTCACTTGTATGGACAAAGACAGGATCATATTTTCTGCAACAATGATGCATCTGCTGACGAAAAAGTCGATACCACTCTAGAAGGATTTGCTAAATAGCAATTTTACGACTGCAGCAGCCACACTTGGCAAGTTGAACCGGGAAAGCCCAATTCAAATGACTACCGTAAAATACTTGTGAAGCACCCACTTTGTTCAAGCGCCGACTATTAACATGTTCCAAACTTGGGAATTAATTCTGCAAATTATACATTAAGCGCCTGATTTGACCGGACAAGCGCCCATGTTCAGATTATTACTGTTTTCAGAGAAAGTGTGATAGGTGCTCCCCCGATATTTTACAGTAGATATATTAACTGCCAATGAAATGCAAATTTGGTTACGGTATATAGATGCTGTCTAGTTCTGCTTCGATCTATGAACTCCAAAATTGGCTCGCATGACCCTCACTATTCATAGAAATATAAACCTTGCCTATTCAGGTAAACCAGACTTAAGGGTTGTGCAGTATCCATGCAGAATGTATCTGTATGCCAAAAACATACTAAGGCGTTTTTAAAGCTGCACTCAGTACTCATTGCCATTTACAAGTTGCAATTTCAGCATTGCAGCGAAGACAAGCCTGTATCAAATTTTTAGAACAGAAGGCCAGCACAACATTGTCTCAAAGCGTCGACAGTTCTTCATACAGCAATATGCCCTAAAGGTTTCAGAAACTGAAAGGCTGAAAAAAAATATGTACTACTTAGAACAAAAACAAGAAATAAAAGTATAATGTTAGTAATGCATTTTTCCAAGCACGCTTCGACAAATCAGACTCCAAGCGACCGAACACGAACAGCAAGAGACACCAATGCGTTCCAGCATTGTCTACCGATGCAGTGCAACCTTTCACATGTTTGTCGCCCGACTTGTAAGGTTGACCGAAAAACAAGAGAAAAACACAACTGTGAGAGAACAAGTGAGGTGGCACACTTCAAAACATCTCTCATAAACCCAAGACTAGGGGAAACCGGGAGGTCACTTAATGAAGACAATAAAAAAAGACAAGGAATAGGTCAAGTAGGGCGAGGCCTCGTAAAAAAGTAAAATGTTGATCATGTAACAAATTTTTTCTGTTGAACGATTTTCTGGGAGAGAAAGCATGTGTCCTCTTAAAGAGTGCAGCATCTCTGCCAAGTGTATTAGGTGGCTAGCTGTCCGCTATGTAGCGTGTGCTGTAACAGGAATCAATGTAAGCACGGGCCAGGTCCTCTACAACAGTGCGATCTGGAAGGCTCTGTGCCATCCCGTAGATTGCAGCCTGCAAGAACAGAAAGAGTACTTAGAGAACCGATCGAACCAACAAAAGATGTATATGCAACCCGCCTTGCTCGCTATGTTAAGTCATGTTTTACCTAGCTCATCTCGTGAAGGTTTTTTTTTGTTTTTTTTAAATACAAGCATCATAATTGCGAGATGGCCAATCTAAAATCAAGAGCAAATCGAGTGAAAACGAAGGGTGGGCCAACTTTCAATGTGCAATCAAGAAAAACATTTTTTTTGTTTGTTTTGTTGTTTGCTAAACTTGTTATCAGATTGGGGGCGACGAAGCAGATTACTGTTCTTCCCGGTCGGCAACATTCGGCCGTGGTCACCACTGGCCTGGGCACTGTAACTACTAGATAGCAAATTGCTGGGCAATTATGTTGCACGGGAAACGTGCGGCATCTACGCTCTCGGTGCACTTTATCGGTTAGTTTGGCGACTAGCCTAACACATGGCATGTACACTCTATAGAAATTCCTGGAATGGAGACACTCTGCGCGTTAAGTCTGTGCTCCAGAACGCGAGAGTTTGGCGCTCCTTTGACTAAACGGACAGGAGTGCCACCAGAGACTGACACTCGAGCGCGCTCTTCATGCACCAAGAATTTCTCGGAGCGCGAGTGATTTCTTCGCACTCCGCGTCGTCACGTAAACAAACAATATGGCTGTGCTGCTGTTGAGACCGTCGAGATGAAAGGCGTAGCCGGACTGCTGCCCCTTTTCAGTTGATTTGTGCTTAATCCAGCACGTAAAAACAATTTGATTTGAAAGCCAAGACAGCAATTAGTGTTCCGAAAAAGGTTTGTTTGTGCGTCTCGCATGAAAAAGAAATTCGTCAAGCAAACTGTAGCGTGCTGAGAGCACAGCAACAGAAAAGTTGTCGAGATGGAGACATTCGGACTGCTCTGCCCCTTTTATAATGCTTAGTTCAGCAAATAAAAATACTTCGATTTGAAAGCCGGAACATCAGCGAGCGTCGAGGAAAAGGTTTGTTCGTGCGTCTTGCCTGAAAATTAATTGATCTAACGAACGAGCGTGTCAATAGCTCGGCGACAGAAAAGTTGTGATGAAAAGACAGTCAGACCGCTGCCCTGCTTAGAATGCTTAGCCTAGCCGCAGCGAATACAGATACTTAGATTGGAAAGCCGAAACATCTGTTAGCTTTGCGGGAAAGGCTTGGTCAGGCATCTCGCCTGAAAACGAATTATCTATCGAACGACGGTGTGCCGGTCTCGGCGTAGCTTCCGTGTCGCGCTGAGACACGGAACCACGGAATCTCTGACAAATTTTAGGGTTTCCTGCCTCGACGAGCGGGTTTAGGAATGTTGTTTTTAATTTAAATCCGAACAGCGTGCATGGTCAATAAATAGATTGGCCAAGGTAACTTTCCACATATGTGCACGAAGCGAGTCTTCAAACCTTTCAGGGATATAAAAGCGTTCGTAGAAACTTTGTAACGTCGCCGTTTCTTTTGCTGTAGACTGCCGTTCCACACAGGCCTAATAAATTTATCTATGAAATAATTTCGGCTTCTGCCACCTGTATTGCCGGGTTCATCATAGCCGTGTGGTCGGAAGGAGATCGTGGGGCTCGTCGATAGTTTCGGGCCGTGTTCCAAAATTCACTCAATCTTACTCCACGGTAGGGGTTCTGTACCTTAGCCGCTCCAAAACCTACCCGCGTCCAGAGTTCCTCTATTTTTGTTGTCATGTGACATAATCCACCAGGGTAACTCGGATCTATTCGAGTAGATTTGGGCCGCACCCTCGGTGTGTCGCACTCCTGTACGCCATGAGTCGTTTAGTTGCTGTGCTCGAAGTATGAAACTTTGAGCGTCAGAGTAGGAGTAAAGGAACACAGACTTAACGTGCCCACTGGTGCTAACCCGGGTTTTAAGAACTTGCGACAGTATGTCAAGTTGCTATCTGCTGGATGCAGAGCGAATGCCCCATGGGGCTTTCCCCCAAAATAACACCTCAAGTCACGGCAATGTGTCGTGACATGCTGGAAAGACACTCGCTAATAATCTAAATGGTCTCAGTTCGATTCCCATCGGGTGCAAACGCTTTTTTACTGCGATGGCCCCTGCTTCCCCTCCTGCTCAAAACCAATCAGCATCGGGCCTTGCGGCCTCGATTTTGTACCTGGCTTCACTTTTGGGCTTTTTTGAAATGCCAATTACCCAGCCAAAGAATGTTTCACATTAAAATAGCACATCATGCCAGAAAGGGGGGGGGGGGGGGGGAAGGCGGGGGGGGGGGGGGGGGGGTACTTTTATGGTAAGTCATTTTTCGGGATATTACGGTAGGTGAAAGCGTTTTACACAAAATAAAACCGTTTCTTTTCGTAGGTCTGCTTTCTAAAAATAACTTCTCCAGCCGTGAATATTTTCAGGTATCCATGCTCACAAAATGAATATTCATATAAAAATTCATACACAAACATTCAAATATTGATACTAGAAAATATTCGAGTTAGATTCGCAATAAAAATTTTGATGTTTGCACACGTCTACTCTAGGCCTAAGGCCAGCCCCAGGATCTCTGACCTGTCCTGTGCTGGGCTTGGGGGGGTCCTTCATGATCTCGGCGGTGAGCTCGCGGACGTCGTTGACGAAGCGGTCGGCCACTTTCTCGGACACGTGGAGCAGGGTGACGCAGAGGTGGAAGCCCGCCGGGTACTGGAGCGGGTTCAGGTTCCAGCCCCGCTGGTGGGTCAGCTTCTCCATCAGTTGGAAGATGTCGAAGACGTGCGAGCCGATGGCCACCACGCTCGTGTCGGGCGACCCAATCACATAGATGCCGGGCACCTCGGACACCCTGCGGCAACAACGGTGCCTCGATTAAGGCTACTTCACACACTTGCACGTTGGCACCACCTTTGAGGTGGCCTTGGAACTGCATTTCACTGGAGCTAAGGTTTTGCGGTATTTGGGAGATCAAATGTACATAGTCTCGATGAGAAATGTTCATTTTAAACATTGGAAAGTTTTTCGAGCCAATAACAAAAGAATGATGCACAAAAAAAAGTAACAAATATCGGGTGTCCCTGAAAAAATATTGGCGATTTTTTAATTTTTTTTGTTGCAGAAATGAATTGCGTGTTGCCGAACACTCATCCTTTGCCCAAAAGGTAGCACTAGAGATCTGTACCAGATGCCAAAGTTTTCGCCCGAACTGACATCGTATTCAAAGGTTGTGATTTTCTGAAAATTTCAATGAGAAAATGGGGCTCATTTTCGCCCGTTTTTCGGTTTCTGGCGCCACAGAGCTCCACGTATTCGAGAGCCCCGTCGGATGCCATGTTCTCATTGAAATTTCGAGAAAATCAATTATAACTTTTTAATCTGACGTTGGTTCGGGCTGAAACTTTGGCATCTGGTTCGGACATACAGCGCTACCTTTGGGCGGAGAATGGGCGTTCGGCGATGCATAGTTTATTTATGCGGTGAAAAAAAGCATGTGAATTGTGTTTGGGAATACCCTGTATACGGAAATACCAAGTGCTACACAGCTGCCTGACAGATGGTGCCCGTGTGGTTTCTCGTAGTAAGGTATCACAAAAGGTTGCAAGGCATCCAGTCACAAGCAGTTGCAAGTGTGTGAACAATCCTTTACTGCGTTTTTAGATGGCCGGGTAGATATGCGTCACGAGCAAAATGAAATGGCGCGGAAAAGACAAAGTGACAAGTAGGAGTTTACGGACCAATGCCACCTAGAACGCCGGGCCTAGTACGCACAATGTCGTCGTTGGTGGATCTCCGACTCACCCCAAGCGGCAAACGTGCCAAAGCTCGACTGGAAAGCTGCAAGGCGACAGATGCGTCCATCTTGGCGATGTCGCATTCTAGCATTGTGGTCGTTGCGAGATAGTGCGAGATGCGCCGGCGGCTATGCCGGTGCAAGATAAGCGCTGCTGCGTAAATCCACTCGTTTGTTTCTTTATTGATACTGTTAGCCCAGAAGGGCCGATACAGGGTGGAGTTTTAGCACTCAATACGATAGGAAACAAAATATACATATTGGGCCATTGTTTTGGCCACATGCATGAGAGCTTAAAGGGGTACTCCGGCGTTTTCTTCATAGTCCCCGATTTGCTTAAAAACTTGCTAAACACACCACAAACATCGCTGAAATAGTAACCCGAATATTTGGCCAAAATAACTTTTTTTCACCCAAGTTATAGAATTTACAATTTTGGTCCTCATCATGTTTATCAAAGTGAAAAGCTCTACTGGCAACATTGAAAAAGTGACGTCATTGTAAGGCAGGTGTTCACTCTTTGGGCTGTAGACTTTGTTCCCAACTGATTACAAACAGTTTCATGGTGTCAAATGAATGCTTTGGAAGGTCGCTCTGGCTCCCGCGCAGCAGCACGAAACAAATGCTCGGCATAGTTCATGTTTAGACAGCCCGCTCGAACCACAATCCTGCCACATCGTGACGTCACGGCAATGAAAAGCGCAGGTATACTCGAATCTTGGGTTTGGCATCATTTTCATTTGCTGATTTCATAACAACTATTTTGAATTTCGCGATACTAAATAGTATACTGGAAAGAGTAAAAGATGCCAAATTCAAAAAATATAGTTAGGTGGGGTTGCTCAAAATATCGCCGTAGTACCCCTTTAAACACAACCCTCAAGAATGTTAAAAAAAAATTGTTTAGCATATAACTAAGCAAGCACGCCCACACTGCTCACAGCTCAAAAATGAATGACAAAAACCTCAATACGCTCAAACATGAAAAGCGGCAAAAAATAAGTACAGTATGAAGTCTACCCCGCACTATAGGACGCTATGCAGGCGAGCACATTATTTTCAAATTGGCTCGGAGAGTCCATTTGAACTATACCACAGGGAAGAGGGTTCCAATCCTCTATGGTTCGTGGTGACATTTGGGGGGTGGGGGAAAGGCGCGGGCCCAGGCTTTGTCTTCTAGATGGTACTGCACGGACACAGCACTGACTAATGACTGTAGCAGCTGGTCAGCTAGAGAAATTCACGAAGCTTACTGCCTTCAGCAAAACAGTCCCGACACAGGCATTAGTGCAGAGTCGCTAGATATTTACGATAGCGAATTGACGTTCATTCTTCATTTTGGCACGTTTCTTGGACAGTGCGGTGTGGAATGGCTTGACGAGAGCATGTTCAGTCTTGGTCTTTGTAACCGATTGTAAAAAAAACAAGTCGTTAGTCGGCGCTGTGTCTGTATATAATTTCTAATTGTCCTTCATGTCCCGTTTTATTTTCCTTGTCGCATGTACTTTATTTAACCACCTGCTTTGGTCGTATCGTCGACCTCTCGCACACGGTATTCTGCACATTCATTTCTCCCACAGGGTTGACACTTATTGCATTACACCAGAAGCATAACAGATTCACTGCACAGTTCATAAGCAAAAAAATATAACTTTGGATGTAAATCATACCCAGATGCCATAGGGCCAGAAGTTATTGTGAACAGAGACAGCAGAGGCCTCGCCTGCTGCATATGAATCCCCCTCTTTAATCGGATGACACATGCACTTTTTTCTCATAACAAGCAATACGGGCTATCCTAGTTGTCACCTTAGAATGCCAACTCAGGACAGAGTCCTATTTGCAGGACTCTGTCCAGTCCCACAAAGTAGGACAGTTCTACTTTGTCTACAATATAGGACAAAGTCCTACTTTGTAGAACTTTGTTATTTTGGTATTTCAGCGAAGAGTCAAAAATTCCTACCATAGGATGATTGAGAGAAAAAAAAAAAGAAACTTTTTCGGAACAAACTGCCAGCCATGGCATAGGTACTTGTTAACTAAATAATTGATCAACTAAAATTTACTAGCTTTGTGGGGCTGTGAATGAGTGCCACTCATTTTGTGGTGTGAACGACTGCCACCAGACGGCACTTATCTCTTGAGAGGGGTTGAGAAGGAGAAATGAAGTACCGTGTTTGTCAACACCAACCTTCCCAGTTTGACAAACTTTGCTAAAACCTCCCCGATTTTGCTGCCACTAGATGCTTTGGCAAACTTTATACTCTGTTTCGCTTTAAAGGAACAATGAAGGCAATTTTGGATATTTTTTTGGCAACTGAACTGGTTCAGTTGCCAAAAACAGGGCGGATGCAGGAATTTCCTGAGGGGGGGTCGGGTGTTGGTCAGCGTACCATATGTTTAGGAACCCCCTCTCCCTCGTTTCATGCCCTAAATTTTACACATGCAGAAATCAAGAGGGGGGTCAGGACATCCGGACTCCCCCTCTTAATCCGCCCCTGGTTCCGTGCAACGTTGCCCAAATTTCAGTTGAAACCGGTGCTAGTGTGCCGCGCAAATCAATTAAAAAGTCGCGGTAATAATCGTACCGGGATGGATTGCGGCGACGCCCCTAGAGTTGGGGGAGAAGCCAGGAGAAGCGGAGCTCATGTGACGTTGCGGCGCCTAAAAGCATGACGTCACAAGAGATGCGGCAGCAATTGGTCGGAACGAGAGACGTGCCCTCAGTCACGTTTTGGTTCGCGATTTTTATGGCACTGTTCCAATTTCCACTTGAATAACCATGAAAAGCATAAATCAGACCGAAAATGATTACTAAGCCGTAAATAAAACAGCGTAATTATGTATTTTTCTCTTTGCTACGCTGGGCGCGAAACGGGCAACGAGCAACTATGGGCAAGCGAAATAAATAAAAAAAGAACACAGCGCAGGACACGCTGGAGATGTTTGGTTTTGGTTTCAGATGTCGGCGTCATGTTTACTTTGGGAACACGGTACTCGAAGATTTCGGCAAAGTGGTAGCCATGCCACATTTGCGCGCTGTAGATGGTTGTTCAATTGGTCGACTGAAGACCAGTAATCGTTCGGGCGACGCTAGTTTTCACGTGTGGGTTACTGTTAGTGTTCTTTGACGACAAAGAGAGGACGTCAGACTCTGATGAAAAGCAAAAATGGTTCTGTTTATTTTCTCCTTCTTGGGGAGCACCCTGCGCAGGAACATTTTGCTAGAGTCGCATATATTTTTAATAAAGCCAAAAACCTCAACTGCTCGAAACCAAAAACAAAACACGAGCATGGACGCTCATGGCCAGAAATCATGTGGCTACACTCGACAGCCTTTTTTTTTTTCCCCGCTTCTCTGACGTGTGAAGCAGATGGCAAACTTGCGTGCATCGTTTGTCGTGCGATTGTTTCGCACTTATATATCCCTTCCGCTCGATGTTCTGCGCTTGAAAATCGATTGGCCGGTACCACGAATGACAGTTCCAAATTAAGGCCTGTTCATACACTTAAGACCTCTTAGAACCTTGTGCCTTGGAAGCTCTTAATAACTCTTACGAGAGGACACACTGGCGCCATCTATTGGGTAGCAGTGTAAACTTGGCAGTCAAGCATATTTTCTATTTCTCTCGAGCATTATCCTTCCTTTCTTGGCTCGAAAAACGTTTGTCAGTGCTATAAAAGAGCCTTTTCATATGTGTTACGCACATTTTACCTCGGAAATCCCGCAAAACCTTCGTTCTTGTGAAATGCAGTTCCAGGGTCACCGCATAGATGGCGCCAGCGTGTTCTTTCGTCTTAAGAAATTTTAAGAGGTTTCAACAGGTCTCGTCTCTCTCGGTCGTACTCGGTTGCAAGAGTGTGAGCGGGCCTTTAGCGTCCCCATGTCCGTCGCAAAATTGGTCCGTTGTGCGTTGCCATCACATTGTCCAGCCCACGGTACAACGCCGTATTAAGAATGACGTGTACGCATACTTCCTGCAATCTGTGTAAAACATTTTTTTTTATCTATCAACGTATTTGCAGCTTTTTGAAGGCCAGAAAAATTGGGTTTGTATTCTTTTTTATCTTTAATATTGAATATGTGCCTTAGATGACCCACGACTTTGAATATTTGTGATAGACATAGCCTGAACACCACGTGACCCTGGAAAAGAGATTGAGCGCAACTGAAACTGGCCGTTTTCGGCAAAAAGAAAATGAATTTCGAGCTGCAAATCGTGCTCTGGGTAGTTGGGCCCTAAGGGGTCATGTTTAAATAAAAACCTCGGCGAGAATGAATGACTTGTCAGTGTTTTTCAAGTCTGACCGCAGCTGACGTTACGACCCGACAGAGCTAATGAAGCAGCACCAGAAGCATGGTGTCACTGCCCTCAATGTCTTTGCGATTTTGCTTTCACCAGCTAAACCAATCGCGCACAAAAAAGAGTGAAGGACAGTGGCAAATTCACCATGCGCCATTTGTTTGGTCAGCGATAGCAAACACACAAAGGCAACGAGAGCCGCGACAATGCGACTTTGGCATCGCTCAACTGGCTCCATTTGCTCGTAGCGTTGGCCGAAGCTAGACCCTAAAGTGAAACTGAGTGGTATAGTCAATACGAGCTAGGCTCGCAAATAATGCCGTCACGCATACAATTGCGGGAAGTGAGTCAGTCAGCCCCGGTCGGCATCCGATGTCTCCGCTGTAGATGATAAACCTAGCCAGTGCAGTACCGCTGCTAGCCTGGGAACGTGCATCACGCAATGTAGCGACGCACGACTGCGCATTGGTACGATGCTTGTCCAGATCGAAACGGGCAGTGGTGGGAGATCGAACCCGGGACCTCTGGGTTCTGCGGCGCGAGCCCTGGATCGTGCCCAGCGTTGGAGAATGCAGCAAGGTACCAACCTGGCGACAATATCCCTGGTGGTGGTGATGATCTTCCTGGTGGCATCCACGTAGCCCTGCCGCCCATAGTAGAGCAGCGAGGCCCAAGTGCAGGCCGTCACTGCCCCTGCTCGGCTGCCTGCAAATACAAAGTAACATGGGCACCAAGGTGTTAAGTTGGGCCATTAGTTGGCACATGTCAATAGGGTGCTTTCAATAGGGTGCCTGCACGAAACCATGGTGCAACGCTGCTTCCGGCTCGAAACTTCGGATGGAATCAATGTCGGTGGACGTGAATTGAGGCCCATGCAAAATTTATCGGCCCTAGGCAAACAAAGTGAAGTTGGGCATTCACCAGACACAGTTGGAGTGCAGTAGACACCTCCAGGCCAGTCAGTGGTCACCGTAAACTGGCAGTGGTGGAACTTGCGCTCCCTGTACATTATTATGGACGATCCCTTGGGGCTGTAGCCGTACTGGAAACAAGCAAAAGAGTATATGGTCACCACATAAGCAGAAATAAGCATAACATAAAAAATAGATTCCATAAAAGCCTTTTTCTTTTCCCAAAAGAAAAAAAGGGTTTTTATGAGAATAAGTTGCCATAAAATACCGAGCACATAGCCATGACAATGCAAGCTTTCACCTTCTAAATTAATTGGAGTATATAAAGTATGCATACACTCAACTTGACCAAGTGGTCACTTCCAAATGTTGGCGCAATTATCCCATTACTTGGGGTTGACGTTTGCTTGCTAGTAGCAAAGATGCACAAACAACCCTAAAAAGGTTTGGTAACTACTATCCTACCCTAAAGGATCAATTACTGCCAGCCTTCAAGCAATAGGTGCCCCTGTACAATTTTAAATTACAACAATAAATTTCTTTGAGTCACTGAGGGCCATTTAGGGCAGTGTCCCACTTTTTGAACACTGTCTCCACTTAACACCTTAACCAGTAGGTATGTCCAACTTTGGTGACACCAGTTAGGCATGACCAGCTTCACTGTCAACTTTTTAAATTCAGTGAAGAACTTGATACACTCCTACAGCAAAACTTCTTTCTACTTCTGGCCTACGGCCTAATGCCACTAGGACAGTCTCGGAGATCCCAGTTTCAGGAATCACTTCAAAGGAAGACTTGCAGAAATTGCTTCCAGTGATTACCTTTAGAGGTCACTCTTGAATTTCACAGACCTTAATTTGGTTACGGTGCCTGGAGCATGACTGGTGTGTGTACCGGATTTTCAAATCTGGTGACAGGATTCGATGGTGTCATAAAAGTGTTGTGCCGTTGCCTTTCGGGATTCTGGCACGGTAGCAGAGGAGGATGCAACAGTCGCCTGTTTCGCCGCGGCTCTCATCCAAGGACGCTTCAGCGGCGACACTTTCATTCGCTCGCTTTTTTTTTTTCCAGGCACTCTGAAGCCAGACCGCCAGGACTGCGACATTCAACGCAACAAAAGGGCTCCTGCGACGTCGTTTGTTGCCACTAAGGGACCACTTTCGACGCACGGGCAGCACAGCCCTGTTTCGCAAAACACCTTTTCGCTTCCGGTAAACCGCGTTCCGCCATTTGCCCCTTTGGTTCGCACGCAGACACTCGGTCGTTGGAGCAGTTCTTGGTGTCGGTGAAATGCGCAAGTGTGGCGAGCGGCTCCGACGACGACGGAGCTCGGTAGGAACAACGGGGGACATATTTGGGCCGCATAAACCCTGGCTTTGTGCTTTTTTTTTTTATTTCGAAGTTGCCCTGGTGGAATTTGCTGCAGTTATTTTGGCCGCTGACAGACCGACTTCTTGACTGCCGGTTCATCTTGAGTCGGAATGGAGAATGGTGTTTGTAAAAGTTGAGCGCCGGCCGACGCTCCGTAACGTTCCCAACGGCTCTGGCCGGCGCAGTCAATCGCGACGCTTAGCAACTTGAGGGAGCCAGAAAAACACTGCCTCCACGCTTAAAAAGACGCAATGCCAAAGTTTGTCAACACGACGTTCAGCGAAACTTTTGGCCAGAAGTAAGTCGCGTGAAACTGCCCTGTAGGACGCCGTGCCCACTGGTCAAAGTCGCAGCCCGGGCACGGTAATTTGGCTCCGGGCAGCCAAGTCGCGGGAGAAGCAAGAAAGTGTGGGAAACCTTGTGGGTGTCGGCAGAGATGCTGGTGACTCCCGGGAGCCTGAAGTCAAATGGACGGAGGGGAAAGCCGGCGTCCTCCATGAAGGCCACCAGGAAGCCTCCCAGGCAGGCATCCACGTGGACCGGAACGCCATACTTTACTCCTAGCTGGGGGGAGAGCACGGAGGAGTCAAGGGAGCCACGTCGAGTCGAGGCTGGTTCACATGTTTCCAGTTTGGGTGCGAACGAGCACGTTGCAACCACTTGCAGCTGCATTTTTTGGTTTTAAATGTTTTAAACACTGGCGACATTCACTGGTTAGACCCGGAGCACTTCTGAGCTGCCTGTAACCAAATGGAAGGTTTTGCGGTATCTGCAAGATAAAATCAATGCACTATCCACGAGAAAGGGTCTTCCCTAACTATTTTAAACTTATTTTGAGCACACGGTGAAAGAATGACATGCAAAATATACACACATCCAAGGTGTTTGATGATGACTGGCCAATGTAGGGCGCTGGTGCATTCTCTCGTCTTAATGGCGGTCACTAGCGACTGCAATGAGGTCGACCGCATAAAAAGGCAAATGTGTGAACTAGCCTTTGCTGCTACTATGAGCAAGTTGCCACTCAAACCATGTTCGATCGAGTCTGAAAAGCTGATGGTGAGAACGCTATTTGCGAGAAATCATACTTCGGAGCGAGACAAAGTGAGCGAGCGTACCTCGCATTTGCGGGCGGTCGGTTGTTTGCTATATGTATAGGTTACATGGCGTCGGGGTGACAGAGGTGCCTTTCTGTGGCTTACTCGTGCAGCTTGGTCAATGGACCTCAAGTTTTATGACCCAAGTGCACATTTAACACCTACGAATAGCAGTCCTTTAGCTGCGCACGAAACAAGCTTTAGGTTTACCAATGATGTAAGCGCATCTCGATTTTACAATTGGAATAGGCCCGTTTGAGATGCCAAGTTTTAAAACTGGCAACGAGGACTACCACTGGTCACCAACATTGACGCTTATCCTTCGAATTAGATACCTTTTTATGCGTCGCATCATAGAGAGGGAAAGAGGATGTTAAAGGTAGGGAGATGTAGAAGTCTGCAGCATCTTTGTGGCAAGCGAGAAGCATTGATCCTCTTCCAGTCACATCAGAACTGGTTTTATCTCCTCACTCTTCCACAGGAAATGCAGATTCCCGACTGGAAGATTAGCTTATATTGCGACGGATGAGAGCGACGACTCGGTTAACGAGTCGACGAGAAACTGAAGAAACCGAACGTCTAACGTGGTAAACTTGCACCGAGAAAACAAGAGAAATAGCATCGCAAGCGTCGAAGTCTGCTTAACCGCACGGGTTGAGCGCCGAAGTGAGATTGACCTCGGACCGCCATGCGGAGCACCTTTTGTACTTGCGTGGGTTCTTGGAACGCTCGGTGCGTAAAAATTCAACCTCTGCTTAAGAGCCAAACGTGATAACCATTCGGCCATGCACTCGTTCGCTCGCTCGGCGATGCACGTGGCTTTATACTACAAAACAAATTTTTCTGAAATCCTTTCATCCCTACACAACTCAAGTTTCCAGACTCTCCCGCACGAGAAGGGTTCCGATAGTTTGACTCGTAAACTATAGTCAGTGACAGGTTAAAAACCCAGTAAATGCCCCACCTCGAGCACGCACTCGTTGCTGCTGCTGAGCTTAGGCTGCGCGTGCTCCGATGTGTTCTCTAAGCCAGAAAGCTCGTGCTCGGTGGTCCATCTACCAGGCTCTTAAGCTGTCTCCCACTAGACATTTAGCAATGTTGGGAAGTACTTTAAGTGCACTGTACTTTAAGTATCGAGCCAAAAATTACCTAAAACTGCACTCTTTTGAAAATGGCGATGGCTGTTGTTCTTTTGAGTCTATGAGGCCTCTAATTTCGTGGATGAATATTTGAGCTATAAATCAATTTATAATGTCTGCAGGCTGAATGTGCTTTGAAGCTGACTCTCAAACATTGTTTTCACAAAACCCAATTTTCGGACTTGTTGAAAATTTGCACGAGGGATATCTCAGCATCTAGAGCAGACAGAAATATAACCTTTTCTGAAATGTAGCTAAATCTGTGAAGCATACAATGTTGAGAGCAAGTTTTTTAATATATAAGTCTAGAAAGTTTTCTATTGGATCTTTTGTTTTATTACTTGTTAGCCACGCGTGGAGCACTGAACTTAAATGCGTGGTAAAATCACTAATAATGGGTTTATCTTAAAAGTATTTCCAACATTGTATTCTCTACACTTCGTAGTACGTATCTAGCCATTTGTTAAAATGGATATATTTTGTTGAGCATTTTTTCCCCTATCGTTCCTCCAAACAAATGCAGGGAAGTTTTAATTATCTTGAGGACAATCCTACAGACTAAGAAAATGACCAGATATATGAAATCAGCACGAAAAGGTGAACAAGCTTGTGTAGTTTCATTGGGTTTGGTCATAAAATAAGAAAAAAGCTCCAAGACCAGTATTCCTCTTTAAGTATAAAGTAGGTTAAGAAAACTTGTGCTTACTTGAATTGTATTCTTGGAGTATGTACGTGTATATTTTACGGTACTTTCCGAGGGAACTAAATCTCCGGACTTCAAAATGCATTCCCCAAATTATCTGTTGTTAAATTTGTGCATTGTCAACTCTTCAACCTATACAAAAAAAAGAAATGGTGTATCATTGTGTGAAAACGTGTTATCGCCTTTTGAGACGTTGTCTTGTCATTTCTGCAAATGAAGTAACGGTGGCTATAAGAATAAAAACAAATAAGTGCCTTATAAGTTGATTGTTTAAAGAGATTATCAGCGAGAGTAAAACAACTACTCTGTGACCACTTGACTTTTATCCAATATTCACCGCCATTTCTGAAAATAACTGATGTGCCACTGGTTACCCCCAGGGCAAAGCATACCAGTTTGGAAAAAAGAAATAGGGGCACGATCATATGGCGTGACGCGTTTAGACAGCGACAGCAGTTTTGTTTATTTTTGTTTATACTCATGCCATCACGAAAGCGGGGTATGCGCCACTAACAGCTGCCACTAATTATTTTTGTTTATGCTCACGCCGTCACCCTATTTTTCCACCAAATTTGGCGGGGAAACGGTAGATTGGTGCCTAGGTCACGTGTTATCAATTTTTCCGCTAGCGGGGAAACTGAAATAGTGCATAGGTCACATGACGTAAATTTTTCCGCTATATTTAGTGAAAAAAACTGTATTTGTTTGTACAGCTCGTGACGTCAGGCCCCGACATCAATTTTCCGGCCAAATTTAGCGGAAAAACTGAATTGATGCATAGGTCATGTGATGTCGATTTTTTGTTACATTTAGCAGGGAAACTGAATTCGTTTAGGCTCACGCCATCGCGAAACCGGGGGTTCCCATAACAGCTGCCGCTGTAAAACACCGTACGCTATAGACCACTTACAACGTAACCACTCATAGAGCAGGACCGGGTATAACGCGGCTTTTTTAAACCACCAGTTCGCCTCCCATAGAACTCCATGTAATTACATACCGCTTAAAAAGCAGGCGCGCGAAGGGAAATACCGGTTATAGTGCGGTTTCTGGAACAGCCCGCCGCAGCAAGCACGCTTCCCTGTGCGACACTAGATAACGGCGCGAGCAGCAAGCGGCACTCGCGGGGCAAGGAGGTTGCTCGAAGAAGCGGGGAGAAGCGAAGAAAGAGGCTTCAGTTGCCATAGCGACGGAGGGACGAACGCACGTGTCGTTCACGTGCGTGCGTCCCTTCGCTGCGTTGGAAAGGTTGGAAACAACCGCAACGACAGACCAATCGCAGGTTGAGGATAAGTGTTCGCGTGCATTGCATGCCGGTCGCGGGTCGGCTGCTTCTATCCACAAACATGGCGTCGGTTGTGATCGTCGACGTAGATGGCGTTACAGTGGGCTGTAACGGCGTGGTGGAAGCTCATCGAACCGCGTAAAAGCACTATCCTTGACTGTGAATATTTGTTGTGTGTCGCTATGATAACCCAGCACGTACTAGAAGGGAAGATCCACCTATTCATGCGGCGATGTCGTGGCGGCACTCTCAAGACGGCAGAAACGCCCGTGTCGTCGTGTTTGTTTACTTCGACTACAGTGGTGCTTTCTAGGCATTTGTGTTTTCGAACATCGCCCGGATTTCTTATTTGGAGCATTTCATGCCTGTGCTCAAGTTGAAGGTATTACTGGCGTGTACCGTATAAAGGATGCGAATTTTCATGTGTTTTCATCGGAGAAAAGTGATTAGGGTTAGCAATCCTGAACGTTTGCAACGTCCGTTTGCAACCCGCGACGCCGTTAAAAGGTTGCGCCAGGCAAAAGTCACTCATTTCTTTCAAAATGTGTGACACACTTGATAGAGAAGTGTACTAGTCTGGTAAAATAAAGACTTCCTCAAACTAAGCTTTATTTTTCATCTAACATAAAATAAATTCTTTTACAAAGGTAAGTTGTCTCATGGCATGTATGTTGGCCTGAAAAATTGATGTTTTGGTTATAACGCGGTACCGCTTATAGTGCGGATTTTCGCGACTCCCGGACATACGTTATATGCGGTCCACACTGTATAGGGGAGTGAAAGGGCATCCTGAAAGATTGTTTTAAAAAGTTCTTGCACTTTACTTTGAAAATACATTGTATTTATAGTACTTTACTTCAACTACATTGTGCCGGGCGTACTTACTACTTTACTTCAAGCCCGTAACCTTTCATTTACTTTGTTCTTCACTTTAGAGTACTTTTTAGGTGTACTTTACCCAGCACTGGAATTCAGGGACTCACCTCGGAGATCTGTTCTATGGGGTCAATGGCTCCATGGGGAAACTGGGGGCAAGATCCAACCAGCTGAAAGAGCAGGGTTGTTCTTATCACTCCTACTAGAGCACAGGACTGACAAAATCGCAAGACTGGAAGGTGAGCCTATCATTTTTTTAAAATTAAGGTTCTCACCATGATCGTGTTATTGGTAATGGCAGCCTCCATTTTCTTCACGTCCACAGTCATCGTTTTGGGATCCACCGGGATGGGAATGACCTTGATCCGGAGATATTGGCCGGCCTACAAAAGATATTAGTATGTGGTTACTACGCCGAGCTGGGAGTAAAACAATTCATTTTCTATGACAAGTAGAAATTTCAAAGGTGCAAGATAAACATGATAGAAGCACTGGGTCAGCACGCCCTCAAGAGGAAACCCCAAAGTTCTCTTGACTAACAAAATTATCTTGCGCACACGTCGAAAACAACATTTCGTGCAAAAAAATGTCGAGGCTGCTCATAACTGTGCTATATGATCTAACAAGTGCACAATGAGCATTTCTTAGAGTGGAGAAAAATAAAAAAAACTTAAAATAATAAAAATGGGCATCACAACAATCTGAATTTCAACCTTGGACAAATGGTTCAAGCTGTGGCGTACCAACTTGTTTTCGAGTGGGGGGGGGGCAAACCAGACCACCCCCCCCCGCCTTCAAGGGCCGGGGGGCAGCGCCCATGGTATCCCTTGGGCGCCACCGACCAGTGTTTGCCCTGCCCAATGGCAGCTGTTTTGGGGGGGGGGGGGGGGAAACACATGCCTTGCCCCCCCCCCCCCACTCTGAGAACTGGGGTGCCAAGTGCCCCTCTTGAAACCCCCGGTTGGTATGCTCATGGGTTCAAGATTGCAACAAAAGATAAATTTGTGTGCTGCTTTTATAAATAAAATTATAAAATATTAAAAACAAAAAATGTATAGCAGAGATGAGCAAATTTTCACAACTCGAAAAAAATGACAAACGGCGAACAGAAAGTCAAGGTGCAAATGAGCTTGCATATATTAGACGTAGCACGATGCCGAGACTGCAGGAAGCAAAAACGACACACACACTCTGTAAAGGCCCGTCCAAACAGAATACTTCAAAAATCTTGAGGCAATAGATTCCAACATAAATCATGCGGCGCTCCACTTCCGTCCTTTTTTTTTTTCTTTCTGCTGGGGAGAAAGTTTCTTTTGTCAAATCTTGTCCATGTCCTCCACGGGAACCTGGAGCATGCTCGTCACGTGGGTCCGGACACCCACTCACAAGCTCTGTTGGCTCTTGGTCAGTCGCTCAAGGCCTCTGTTGCATTTCAGGTCTCGAAAACGGGAAGGGATGTGTTCGAAATCTTACCCAAATAAATCCAAGCTGCTCTGGCAGGTCGTGTCATGTGATAACACAGATAGAGCGACGCTGGACGCAGGTAGGTTTTTCGAACGCAAACATACAAAATTCTTACCCTGGAGTAAGATTGAGTAAATTTTGGAACATGGCCAAGGTTACAAGGGCCAAGCTAATGACAGACAGCATTGGCAGGTGGCATGTGACGTCAAGTCTGATGAGTACCAAGGTCACCAAAAAGCACGGGGGGAAGCGAGAAGGAAAATTGTGATGTTCGCTTGGTGGTGCCGAACAGGACACATCGGACTGCCGAACATTTCAACTTTCACATTTTTTAGTGGAGTTGTGTCGTCTCACAATTTCTGCAGTGTCCTGTTCGGACAGGCCTTGACACAGCTGAAAATTTATTTCACTTGAAACTTCTTTAAACAGAAAAGGCCACAAAGCAACAGATCTTCACTGTTCTGTCCCTTTGAGGCATTTCCTATTTAAGCACTTTTCATGTGAAATAAATTCTCAGCAGTGAAAGAAACTGTGTGTGTGTGTTTTTGCTTCCTGCAGTCTCAGGGTTGTCACAAACAGCAATTGATGTTCAATCCAATTTGCAGCACACTTTTACTGGTAGAGGTATACGAGTTTTTAGTTTATTAGAAAATTTTAAATAATGTCCTCAGAATTCACCGGTTCATTGTGTCATGCATCAGCACTTCTCATCAGTGCTCTGGCGTCAAGCTTCAGTTTGAACCAACGTTACTAGAACCACTCAGTTGGGAAACTGCCATAGAGACTGCTCTGCAAAAGTGGCCCAAATCTGTCCACCTGAACCGAGCTAATGGCAAACTCAATGCCGCCATTTCTCCTGCAGCGGCCACTCGACGAACTGCACGTTACTTCTATTTTGGCTTTAATCGGCCATTTTGGCGCCGAAACAGATACAGTGGAAGAGGTTACAGGGGTGCCAACCCTGTCTTTCCAGCGGACGCGCCGCGAATTTCTACCGAAGTTAAAATGCACCTAGGTCGGGACGTGCTACCTGAAAGGACCGCTGAGGCATGGTTGTATAAAAACAATATTAATTGTTCTGCAAAACCTTGCAAACTAAAGATTATAAAAACATCATGCGCCCTTCATTTTGTACTAAACTCCAATAAATTTCATACAAAAAGAGTCTTTTCCGTTTGTTTTTACGCAAAAACATGCTTTTTAAAAGCTCAAGGTGACCACAGTACAGACAAATGATAAAGAGTGGCGCTGTTGTTGTATTTAGCTTGGTCTCGGTGGACGCCAGCGGCCCAGGTTTCGACGGCAAGTTTCCCAACTGAGTGTTCTAGTAACGTTGGTTTGCACCGACGCATGCATCAGGCTTCACTGCCCTGCTTTGGCATGTTAGGAGAGGCGGTTGACATGTCAAAGCATGTTGGCAAAGTAAAGCAACAAATGGTAAAATAAAATACTGGTCCTGCGAGATTAGAATCCAACTCTTCCGCATGGGGGCCGAGTGCGCTGTTAACTCTTCCAGGCACACAGCAATACAAATGAAGCTCAAAATGCTTTTCCAAGGACCTAACTTTGCGTCGCAAAGTGCCCCTTCACACACTGACAATGACAACCACTGGAGCCAGAAATCTGATTAGAACTACCAACTGCGGAAGCAAAGAAAACCAGATTTTCTGATTAATACCTTATCAAAGCCAGCATGTGCAGTGACTGGAACGATCCTGAAACAAAGAAAAGTGTATATAATGAAGTATCAAATCAACACGCCATTTTTTTAAAGCAAAGTTGCATACATGAAACGTTTTAAACTGAAAATACAAAAAAAAAAAAAAGACACCTAAAAGCATCGGCAACTTCTCCGATGCTTTCTCGCCCTCTGGTTCTTCTTTACCCCGGGTCTGGCAGACAAGGACCTTTTCTTAACTTGCCAGCGCAGTGGGAATTTTCGGATGGGTACATTGTAGTAGTTCTTTTAGAGTGTTTTAATAAATACTCTTGAACTCTGCCCTTACACTGGTACGTGTGTCTTCCCTTTCACTATATTCGAGAGATTGAGTCGGCGTAGTCAATCATTGGCACCGACAGATAATTTATCAAACCGACAAGTGGTAATGTGGCCCTTAACGTCATCTTCATTGCTGCGGAGATGTGGGACCATGCTACTAGGTTGGTTTGACGTCTCCTTTGAGATCACCGCCGCTGTTGGGTACTCTATCGGTACCTCTGTTAGTAGCCAACATATCCCACATAAGGATTTGTATTAGCTACTAACAGATGTACCGATAGAGTAACCAGAGGGTTATCACAACAGCAGTGGCAATCTAAAAGGAGATGTCAAACCTAGTAGCCCGGTCCCCATATCTCCGCGGCAATATACACGACGTTTACGGCTACATTACCGCGGGTCTGTTTGATAGATACCTTCGTCGGTGCCTCTCTCTCGAATTTAACGGAAGAGGAGACACACTTACCAGAGAAAGGACATACATAGTCCAAGAGGATTTATTAAAACCCACTCAAAATTAACTACTACGTCCCCATCCAAAATGCATCCCCGCGCCGGAAAGGTAAGAAAAGGTCCTTACCTGCCAGACATGGTCTTCTGCAGAGCCAAGATCGGGGAAGCATTGGAGAAGTCGCCGATACACATCCTATCTCTTTCGCGGTCACCAAACAAGTCTCCTTCCCAAAAGCAGGAAAAGAGGCAAAACCTCCTCGCCTGTCAGCAGTGATCCGCATCCGAGCAGGGCAATGGAAGAAGGTCCCCCCGCGAGACAGTGAAAGGAGGGCCCTCTAAGACAGGGTACCCTCCACTTCACAAACAGGTCGGAGCTCACGGCAAAGAAGGCCGAGCATTCCGACCCGCGGCCGTTATCACAGCCGTCGGGTAAGAGAGATCACAGGAATCGCCATAGGTTAGACATAGTAACCTCTAGAAATTGTGTTGACCACAGTTCTGGCAGAATGTTTCACAAGCCCCAAGTCCTACATCAAAATTAATGCTCTCAAGCTAATAATTTATTGGAATAAAAAAAAAAAACCTTTACGGGGCATCACATTTTCCAATCAACCTGCACTCGCCTCTCAATCTCTCCAGCTAAGGCTATGTTTTGCAGCCACAAGTTTAGATAATGGGTCATTGCACATCCAAAGCTATGTCAAAGTTGTATAGCGAGAAAGGTTAGACTGTTATGAAATGGCAGGTTGGCACCTGGCATCCGGAAAATCAACAAGACTGGTTTGGAGTATTTCCACTCTAGATTAACTTGGGCTGTTATGCAAATACTTGTTTGCCTACCAGTCTTGGAACAATTTTGGAACAATCTTGCTACATTGTGACCATGCACTTCACCTAGGCTTCCATGCAATTCTCATAGCCAAACTTGTAGAAAAAAACAACAAAAAAACACTTTACTTACATTTCTGGATAGACGATACCCTTTGCAGAGAAAGCATAATCTCTATAAGACTTGCAAGCCAGCAATAGGCTCTCAGTGCCTCCAGATGCCACCTGCAAAGAAGATCAGGTTGATTGAACAAGTGCTGCCGAAAAAAGCAAATTCCCCAAGGTTGTCCCAAGCTTCACAAACAAAACTTGCATAAAATAGATATCAAAGTTCTAAAAACTGTGCCTTTATGGTAGTAGTTTGTTGCAGATTAACTACCACTTACAGACAGTAAGCGGTACTACAAAAAATTCTATGGCAAATTGCTGGGCAATCGTGTTGCATACGTGAAACGTCCTAGCATCATGTGACATCAATTTCCCCGCTAAATTTAGCGGGGAAACTGAATTGGTGCGTAGGACTGACGTCCCATAATGGAACACTGTGCGCATTGCATTATGGGATGTCACAGGTCACAAGTTCACAAAATGCGGCTTTAAGAAATCTGGAGCAACTGACCAAAATATGTTTCACACACACAAAAAAAAAAAAAAACTGAAAAAACAGCTTTTCAGTTTTGTGAATATATAACGATGTGGTAACAAACACATAACATATCACTCCCAATCGCTAAATTTGTGCCTGTGAAATATTCTCAAAGCCCACACTCCTCAAAATTTGCTAAATATTGAGCTCAAGAAGATAAATTCGTTTACAGTATTTGGAAAAAGTAAGAAACACACATACACTGATTTTCGCCACATTATCCAAATAAATAAAACAGAAACTCATTTCGGAACCAACGTCTCTATATGGTATTCACAAGAGAGAAATCTTTGAGAATTCTCCCTGCAGAGTGCATCAAATGACAAAAATGTCACACTTTTGCGATGCGGTGACATCAACTCCGCGGTGAAGGGTGGAAGGCAGAGGGAAAATGCCAGGGCGGTACAAATAATCCCAGTTTGGCGAAGGATCATTTTGATTTTAACAATATTTTAAAAGCTTCAACGCCCAAGCGTAGAAACCACTCAATTTGTCCGCGGTGGTGTCAAAAGTAGAAACCACTGAATTCGAGCGCTAACGCCGACGTTTTTCCCACCAGCACCTAGTCCATGTGAACGACCAAGTCGAGGAAGGAGTTGCGCTCGGCAATGATGTCGCACACCTCCCTCTGTGGACTTCTGCCCCGTGTACAGACTCCCTTAAGCCGAATCCTGCTGGAAGAGGCTCACCGAACCGCAGCTCTCGGGTCCCCCGTGGAAGAGGTTGCAACACCAGCGTATGAGCTCTGCCTCCATCTTGCGGACGCCCAGGAAGACATCCGAGTGGAGCGGGTTGGAACGCAGGTGTGCCTGGAACACCTGCGTCATCATCGTCTCCAGCCGCTCGTCGTTCTCCGAGTAGATGGCTCCGGACACGCAGCCTTTCTTCCACTCCAACTTGCACATGGAGTCGTTGCGTGCCATCTCCGTCAGGATCTCTTCCTGCAAGTGGAAATGGCTTGTCATTGGCACTTCCAGCCCCGAGGAAGGCCATTCTTCCATAATGAACCTTTACGACTGTTCGCGGTCATAGCGGAAGATTAATCTTTCGGTCGTCATTTTACTAAAGGTCAGTCCTCCGTCTGCACCGGATAGTTAATCCAATAAAAGTTTCAACGGATCGTTACGACTGCTAACAATCTCTTTTGACAGTTAACATTAGTAATGGCCCGTAACAGCCCGTTACAACAACCAACAGTAATAGACTGCTCCATTGCATCTTAAAATATTGTACGAGAGTGTTACAAAATATGGCGAAAGTTCAGTTATTACGGATATAGTATGGGCTTTGTGATTGCCTCTTAGATTCACAACACAGATAATTAGTTTGGTTTTGGGAGGTGGCGCAATGTTGGCCAAGCTAACCTATGCTTCATTCACCTCTAAGCTTTCGGGGCAACAAGAACAGAAAGCCTCGCATGCCTACCAACATACTCCCACGTTTGAACATACCATAGAATACTGCACATCCCCCCATACCACACTAAGCGCCTGTACCCAAATTTGTAAGATGTGAGAAAATATGTGCAGTACATTGATATGTAAAATTGATGATCGGAGAAGCCCCCAACCCCCATTTTTTTGCAATTATCTCAAAATTTTGAGTAGGCGCTTGCCCGGTATTTTAAGGTACTTTGAGGGGGGACACTACCCAAAAAAGTGAAAGTTTAAACCATTTGTCTGATTTAAATTCTATTTACAGGGCTTGTTTCTGTTGATGTTGAGAACATTTCTGCCAAGCTTTGTTAACCTGGGTGAAGTACAAAAAAAATTAAAAATGTTTAAAGATGAAAGTGGGCGTGTCTGCGTAGGAAAACTATAGTTCTGAAATTACTTAAGAATTTGTCGTTTTCATGTGTTATCTTGCTTTAGGACAGTTCAGAGCAGATAACTATGGAGCTATATTATGCCATCTTTCATGACAAAAAACGACATAAACACAAATACTGTTTTTTGGATTTCCATCCTTTGTCCAAAATTTTAGTTCTTGAGCATGAAAAATGATAAAAATAAAAACAAGCTCATAGTAATCTTCCCCTTAAAATTTCACCCCAGAAAAACTCATAAAAATGAATCTAAGTTATGTAATAACAAAGCGATAGTTTTCCTAAAGTGAAATTTATGCCAATAAGTGGAATGGAAAAAATGTGTTCGAAGTGTTCCAACCTCTACCTTTCCTTCAGCAACGGTGGACCGAAAATAATTTATAAAAAATTAACTATACGCTGTAAACTAATGAAACGTTCTGGGAATACTCTATTTGTTGGTGGATGTAAATATAATATTTTTCAAAATCAACCTTTTCTTGCAGAAAGATTTTTCTGGGTAGTGTCCCCCATTAAATTTCTGCTTCAGCTTAACTCCTTTTTTGCTGTAAGCCTAAGTCTCGTGTAAAGGTTTACCTTCTAGACACCAGTGAGACTTTGTTAACATGTCCTTCAGTTTCCTAATCTGGATTTCTTTACTTTCATAGTGTCATCTTCATTTCCTAAAGTGCTATTCTTCACTTTCACAATCTTGTTATCTTCATTTATATAAAGTGCTATTCTTCACTTTCACAATCTGCAGTTCCTTACTTTCACAATCTGCTGTCTTCACTTTCATCATGTACTGTTCTCCACTTTCGCATTGTATTGTTCTTCAATTCCATAATGTTGTTTACCCTCATAACCGGTCGATTTTTTTATAATGCGCCGTTATTCACTTTCATATTGTTTTAGAGTGCAGCTCTTAGGGGCCCGTTTCCGGCTTGAGCGGCGTTGCCGTAACCGCGCGGTGCATTATGGGAAATGTCCCATAATGCACCGCACGAGCCCCCCCCCCCCCCCCCCCCAGGTCACGTGACTCCCCGGAGATCACGTGACCCCCCCCCCCTCTTGAGGTCACGTGACCCCACCCTTCCCCGAGGTCAATTGACCCCCCCGAAGTCATGGGACTCCATTCAGGTCATGTGACCACCTCCGCCGAGGTCACGTGACCCCCCTCCGCCGAGGTCACGTGACCCCCTCCGCCGAGATCACGTGACCCCCTCCGCCGAGGTCACGTGACCTCCTCCGCCGAGGTCACGTGACTCCCTCCCCCGAGGTCACGTGACCCCCCCCCCCCCCCCCCCCCGATGATGTCACCAGTGACGTCACTGATGACATTACCGGCATTCGCATCGTCGTCACGTGACCCCCAAGGTCATGTGCCCCCCCCCTAGGTCACTTGACCCACCCCCCAGCACCCTTCCCTCCTCCTCCTCAAGAGCTGCGCTCTAATTGGGCATTACAGGGAGTTGTAAACGGCTTTCACATTTTTTCACTGTCATAATGTTTTGCTCTTCACTTTCATATTGTGTTATACTCTTATTTTCCCACACGCTTGTCCTTGTTACATACCCATACATCTGCATCTCTACAGTCGGGCATGAAGCGATAAAAAACACTATACAAAAAACATTTTGAACAACAAGTATACTTGCTGAAACAACCCATTGTTGTTTCAAATGAATGACTCCAACTATAACACAAAAGCAGGAAACTGCAACAGGAAAAAGAAAGAGAAACATCGCCTCCTCCTTTTCCACTCACAAACTCCACGACCGTGACGGCCATGCAAGCTTGTATACGAAGAGTGAAGGGTCATTTGTGCGCATCAGCTATGCAAGCTTCGCATTTCGGCTTAGAAAACATTTCTGTCTTGCCTTTGAGGAGGCTGTAATGATTGGTTCATCTCCTACGTGAGATGGGAATGGGGAATGCCTCAGACCCTGCTGTTAGCGAAGTCAATGCCCAGCGACACAAGCCGAGCGTGCATGCTTTGCCCGGAATTATAAAGTGGTGCAAGCACAAGTATGAGACATGAAAGAGACAAATTTTATCTCAGCTTACAAGTCTGTTGCACCATACCTTCATTCACTATGACACAAGCATTGAATGCAGCTAACCCAAAGAGAACTAAAAAAATAGACCCCGCTCTAAAAAAGAAACATTATACATATGAGATACCTTCAGATATGCCATACAGGTGCAACGAGTGACTCACAGGGACAAGGCGTCGTCAAAAGCAAGATTAGCAAGGTGATTGCAAAAGTGCTCACAGGCGTCCACGACTTTTGTGGCAGCTCCAAAATGAACTTGGCATTGGCGTAGTGTTTGTTGAGGGACCTCTCAATGTCGAGCGCAACTTTGTCCAATTGTTTCTTGACATAGATGCGTATGATGGGAGCGTTTCTGAGCCGTGCAAGGATGCCCCGCCTGACGTTTGGAACAAAGCCTGGAAAATGAATTGGACACTTTGTTACCACCGCACCAGATTTTTCACGATCGGAAACCAATCTACAGATTTTTCCTAACCCTTATTCATAAAAACACAACAACGTCCCCGGAGCTGCACGAACCAAGACCACCCTCGATTTTAGATGCGCCGACTACTGGTGGCACAAGCACCAAGTTGGTTCTAAAGCAATAACTAGTGCTTACCATATCTCTAAAGCTAGTCCACCTACACAATGGTTAAAAGAGGTGGAAAGGTGGGGGGGCATCTTTTGGTGTTAGCACAAAAAACAAAACAGCTGAGGCTCAACCTGATCGCTCAGATGCTCGTGCCTAGATCAACTGTCATATGCCCTAGAATGTGCCATGGGCATCATATCAGTTAAAAGGCACTGGAAGAACTTTGTGAATCAAATTGTTTCGTAAACTGATGGGGAAACAGTCCCTATTTTTGTTGAAGCTCACTGCCTACTCTTAGCACAAACCTCCCAAACCAAGGGTGGGCAAATTTTATTTTTAAAAAAGAGAAAATCGAAAGAAAACACGAGTGGAGTATGTTTCGGAGAAGACAATTTCATGACCAAAACATCAATAAACTCAATGCACCTAAATGTGTCTAAATGTATTAGCATCAGATTCACTAGAAAAAGTCCTAAAGTACTGGTAATGCTTCACCTGAACAGGCATCGGAGGTTAAATATTTGGGAGTCATTTTTTCCTCTGTGATTTATTAAACACAATTTTAGGTTGGCTCCCCAATCTCTGAAGGAGACACTATATTCTTCTTATGTACGGTCTATCCTTGACTACGCGAGTGATATTTGTGATCCGTTCAGGCAGAACTTGGTAGATCAGGTTGAAAAGATCCAGAATCACGCTGCAAGATTTGCGACGGGTGATTATGATTTCAGAGCTAGCATAACTACACTGAAGTCGTCTCCTAATTGGATACCTCCGAGTCAAAGGCGGAAATTTCTCCGTCTCAAACTTTTACATAACATTTTATACAATATCACTATTTGTAGGTCTAAGTATTTCATAAAATACTGCTCATCCGCCCATTCCACATTAAGCACCCATTCCCAAATTTGTAAGATCTGAAAAAATATGCACAGTACATTCATATGTAAAATTGATGACCGGACAAGCGCCCATCCCCCATTTTTTTTTTATTTTCTCCAAAGTTTGAGTGGGCGCTTGCCCAGTATTTTACGGTAGTTTTGAGCTCGCCTATGTGTCAGAAAAAAAGAGATAATTGAAAAAATATTAGACAATTCCATTGCAGAACTGATGTTTTCAAATGTTTTTTTTTTTTTCGCGGTCCATTGACCATTGGAATAACCTGCCAAGTGACATTGTTGAAACATATTTGTCACAGCGGTTTTTTCAAAAGATTCAAGGATATGTCTAATTATCGTTCTGCATGATTTATTGTATTGTTCCATTTTACTTTCTGTTTTTAGTGTATAATTTTTTGTCTGCCCCCTTCTACCATAATGCCTCTTCAGGCAATGTAGGTATTCAAATAAATAAAATGAACAGGCATCAGGTCTGCTATTGATAAGGAAATGGTTTCTCAAGGCGTAAAAAAACGAAGCATAGTTTACAATTCTAAGGCGTAAGACACTTCAGCTACAGCGTGTATGAGGTATTTGAAAAAATAACAATGATTCCAGCAAAAAAAGATGTTTTAAAGAAATATTATATTTGCATGGAATTTGGTACAGATACTGTTTTCTTTTCCTCTTCTCAGACTTCCTTCGATAAAACAACCTTCAGCTCCAATGACCGACTTGATGTGGCTTTAAAAACAGCTGCATGCCCTGATCAAGTGGTCTTCGTAGATGTTGGCTGTAGTGTCCACAATGGCAGCCTTTAACAACTTTTTGGTGTTGCGGAACTGCTCGTTTGTCTCTCTTTCGGCGACGCCCCAGACACAGTAGTAGCCCAGAGGGTTTACATCTGGTGAATTAGGAGGCCTTATGTTGGGGGTGACGTGGTCGTAGAGCTTGGCAGCCAGCCATTCTTGGGCTGTGTGGCGTGGAGCAGATTACTGTTGAAAAGTGTATGGCCTCCCCTGGGCCACCACCTCTATCCAAGGTTTTACTACAGCTCCTAGGGTCTCAATGTAGGCCTTCAAGTTGACCCAAAGTCTCTGTTGAAAGAAGTGCCGTGGCACGACATGACCCCTGTTGCTCGGACCATCGCAGATGATGGAGACTTTGGCTTGCGGTCGTGTATCACTACCGCGTGAAGCACGTTAAAGACCCCAGGCTAGCGGTTGTACTGCACTGGCTAAATTGCTCATCTACAGCATGTGACTCGTCGCAACTTTAATGGCTGACCAACTACACGCTGTATAAATATCCTCACAAACCAATTTGCTTTTTTTTTTTTTGATGGAGACTTTGTCCACATGACCATAGAGACCTTGTTGGAGCTGGTGCAGAGCCACTTGTCATTCCTCCTGTTGACCTATTCGCCTTGGTCAAAGTTGTTCTTGTCGGAAAAAAACCAAAGCATGTCCGGTTCCTCAGGGTGCTTAGCTTGTTCAACAAGCGCTTGAACAAGGTGGCACGGTTTTCCTAGGTTTTTTTTGGGAAATAAACTGTCCTCGCCTCATCAAGTATGACTGGTATCTAAGGTCCTCGTGCACCAGAAGCCCAATAGTGAACTTCGCCACCTCAAGCTGCTTGGCAAAGGCCCTTGTTGCCGAGCACGTAATTACAAAGAACCCGGCTGTCACAGATGCATTTAGTATTCTTCATTTACCCCTTTGTCATTCTAACTGTCCAAAACCCCCTGGTAAATGGGGTCCCCGATCACTTTTGCCGATCAACAAGGGGTCCCTGAAACATCAGTGGTTGAGAACCACTGCTCTAGAGTCTGAACCTCGATGCCACAAGTATGGTTCACACTCTTAGTGGGCCCTGTTATTGCATAAATAACCACAGGTCTTTCCCACCAATCCTGTCAACCTGAGACAGCAGTGTTCTGGTTAAAATTTTCTTGCAGGCCAGATCTGGAATGCAGACTCCCACTTTAAAATAATCTTTTCAAAACATTCTTTGTGCAAATGATCAACGACTGGAATTCACTGCCTCCTGACTACATACATGCTCCAAATATGGACTGTTTTGGATCCTGTAAAAAAAAATTTATTTAGCTTTTTCCTGCTTGGATTATGAAAAACCATCTACAGTATTTCTTAAATAAAAAAAAAAAAAGAATCTATATTTTTAAGACCACTTGCACGTGGAATAAATATTTTTGGGGTGGAGGAAAAACACTGCTCAACATTAGTTAAAAATTAGCACCTGCATTTTAATTGATTGATAAAACTGTCATGTGCAGAATTGCTGCATCTCTTCGAAGCGTCCCCCCGAGTTCTTTTATGCCATTTTTTTCTTCTTGCGATGGCACAGAGAACACACAATTGCATAGACTGAGGCCTGACGCACAGACTGCGGTCGTGTGGGGTGACTCATAGCGTGTCAACGCACGATGCCTGGAAATATGCGCAGTTGGAGGTGCAGATGTTTGACAGGTGGCGAGCTCTGCTACCCTTCGCGCCCCTCCAAAAGTGCTTCGGACAACGGAAAACCGGAGTTAGCTTCGGTAGCAATGCAACTGACATGCTTTCCAAAGTTTCAGCTGCAAAGTCGAGCCAGTTTTTGCTCCCCGTCTCAAAAGGCAACACGACCCCATTTCCACCCTTCATCTCGACAAGTGGCGCTACGCTATCTTTAGTTGCACATTCTGCGTCACATTCATCGGTGTGATGCAACTGAAACCCTGGTTAAAGTGTCACAAGCCATTCTTTATTTCTCTGTGCTATGATTGATGCATTGATACACAGGAGAAAATGAGCTCCCCAATTCAGAAACCGCCAAAGATAGCAAACCATGCGGCACCTGCAGATGCTACATGTTCGACAGTTACGGATGATTACTGTTAGCCTGCTATAAAGAATTGCATGAGTGAAGACTGTACAGAACACTTCACTAGTGTTCATGTGTCTAAAAACTGTTGTGTTCATGCATCTGAAAACTGCTGTGCTCATGCGTCACAATTAACAGTGCAGTGCTAATGTGTCTGAAAACTGTGGTGTTTATGAGACACAACACTGCAGTGTTTATGTGTCATTGGATGCCACAGTTGAGCTCAATGTCCACAGTGCACGCTTTGAGAAAACTGTCACCCACACAAACTTTAACAAGAGCAACAATCTCGATGGTATGACACGCGTGTTGCAACATCATTGTGGAAGCTATACTCCCTTCTATCTTAAGATGTACTGCAGAGGGTGCTATGAGCCATCCCAGCCAATACAGCGCTGTAAACCCATTACATGACTACGCACCCTATCACTGATCTGCACCCACACGATCTGTTGAATCGGCTTTGACGGCTCGTAGTGTTATCTGCAGTCCATTGTAGGGTGAAACAAACCACGGCCGTCAGCCCGGACTCAGCACCAACAAGTTTAGCGGTTGGCAAACACTACCTATACGTGCACGCCCTAGGTAATCAGTCAAACGAATATTAGACAGGCTTACCCTCGCCATAAATTAGTCGCGACAGAAGTCGCAGGCCAATTGCAGTCACAATTGCGGTACCGAAAATTAGGAACGCCGGCTCCGTGGATTGAAAGCGGCTATTGACGGCCTCCCTGCGCGAATCCAGGAAGGCGTAGAGGCTTTCCAGGCCATGAAGGGAATATTCCAGCTGCGGTAAAAACATGTTAGAACATGAAAAGCGTTTCGAACATGTGCGCTTTTTACGTCTTGACGAACATCTGCTCCCGATTGATGAATGGTTTCCAGACACTTTCAGCGTTTGAATTACAGACCTCACTCTATCGATTTGTTGCACCATTTCATTAGTCATCAGCGCGCTCAGAGCGAGCACCAGCTCCCGCTGACAATACGAAGTTCTGAGGTACGACCACGGTATGAAGAATCACTCTGTTTTCCATTATTGAATACCGGGCACTATGGGATGTCTCCTTCCCTCAGAGGTTACGGCCCCACTGACAACACAATCAAATCTACCATGAGCAACGTTCCGTCGCATGCTGAAGCTTCAGCATCCAAAGCTCCCACCCTACAAATACATACTGAAAATAAGCAGATATTTCTAACTTACCAGCAACAGGGCAGTCATCGTCGTTTCTCAGCCCGGGCAAATTTTCGTGTAACCCGAAGCTAAAACCACAACCGCGGCGGCAGACGAGACCGCTACCGACCGGCCGCGCTAAACTTATCAGTTACCAATGAGCGAATCATGCCCCTGATAGTGCGATACCCGGGATAACGAATGCACTCGGCTTACGTAACCGGCGCTACATTGGATGCACGCAGGGAAACCGTACAGCGAGCATTCACCCACCTACACAGCCACCGGCACACCTCACAAGCGCAAATTTTGCTCAGCGTTTTGGAACGTTGGCTTTAGTTGATTTAGCCATTGCTCCTTAAGTTGGTACAACTTATTTTGCACAAAAGAAGCTTTCTAGCGTCTTCAATATCTCTGTAAAATTATTTCTGAAATAAGTCATGCTAAAAGCGCGGTTTTAGGTTACTAAACAAAACAAAAATTTTTATAAAAGTTACTGAGGGAATTTATGAACAGCTGCTTAAATGATTAAATAGCCAATCTGAATCCAATCCACTTGAATCCAATCCATGCGCGCGTTTGCTGCTTGTAGCTGTTTCGTTCATCCAGCGTTGAACGAATGAATGGGTTTATTTCGATTCAATGGGCGGAAATCGCCTTAGAAGCCCGATTTTAAAAGGCGCTGACTCGGTGAGTTAACAAGAATCACATAGCTCCTATCAGATCGGCCAAAACGCCGCTAGCTTGATGCAACCGTAAGTACTCCACCACGAACCTGCAGCGAACGAAGAGTCTGCCAAAAATGTGGACCGCAAGAGGTGCCTCTCCGCCAGATCGCATTAGAGCTTTCTTTACGGTCACCATGCCCCCGAGGCTAAAACGCCACTCCGGTTCGGATTCGCGCGAATTCAGCGCTGATCGACTGCACGGCAAAGTTTCAGGCGCGACCGACATGACACAACGGCCGAGCGTCCCCGGACGGTGATGTGGTATCTCATGGAGAACGTGCAACGTTCCTACACGCTCTCCGAAAGACTGCTGCGTGCGATCGGCATCGGACACGGCGGCGGCACACGACGTGAGCAGGAGGACATCGAGGATCTGATTCGTCAGGGCGCCGACGTGAACCTGGCGCACGGGACTTTCCTGCCGCTGCACTGCGCCTGCATGGTCGGGGACGCCAACAGCGTCTCAATCCTGATCAAGTGGGGCGCCGATGTAAGTGGAGACATCTGTTACGTGTTTGTTTGCTATTGTGCGCAGGTATGCGTACCTTCAAAGGCGCTGTTCCGTGAAGTGTTCGTTTGCCAATATTGCTCTGGAATTGCCCTCTTGTACCTATCTCAAGAAGCGATCATGATGAAATTGAGAGCATTGTTGTTCCATTGCACGTTTTGGAAAGCGCAGCTAGCAGCTGTTAAGTGCTATCAACGAGCACTTGCTGTCCTGGATAGAGGTTATCAGAATCGTGTAGAATATTGCCTGTCCTGTTGGACATAGCTGGTGCCTCAAGGGACACTTGTTGAAATCTTGGCGTTTATCTGCAAAACTCCCTAGCAAAGAACTGAAATTTTATACGGATATATATTATATATGTCTTCGAACCACCCACCCTGGGCCAGTATGCCAATAGCTTGTCTCAAATTTACGTTAAGCTGAATTATCTGTTTGCAGGCTGTTTGCAAGTAATTGGGTGTTATACCAGTCTACCAGTTAACGAAGTTAAACAAAATGATCCCCCGAGACACTTAGGGAATGCACATGTTAAAAGGTTGACCCGCAAAAATGAGCTTCTGCCTGGCAGAAAATCTTTTGCCACTGTCCTTCGGTCTGTTCCTTCTCACACTCTTCCCTCCTCATTGCTGAAAAGGAGTGCAGGTCTGGGAGTTAATCCTGGCTGATCTGTGCATTGGTCTCGAACATAACATCACACACACGATTATTGCAACGTGTCCGAACCACAGTCACCGGCAGGATGAGATGGTAGGGAGGTCTCCGCTTCCAGCACAAGCTTGCCTCCTTTTATAACGTTTTAGCATCTTGCGTGCCCCGAGCAAGCACGCACAGCCAAAGCACAGCAGAAGGCGCCGAGCATATGTGCCAGAGACCTGGTGTTCGAGAGAGACGCCATTTACACCCTCTTAGCGACTATGGCTGCAAGACCTTATCTAATCAGCTGGTTGTGAAACAGCCAACTTCTTGATCTCGCGCAGGTAAACAGCTACGATGGCTACCACCGCACGGCGCTGCACCACGCGGTCGAGCGCAGCGCGGACTGCGTCCGCCTGCTTCTAGCCGCCGGTGCGGACACCGACACCATCGACATCAACCGCAACACCCCACTCCACTGGGCTGCCTTCCGCAACCGCGCCGACTGTTGCCGTCTGCTCCTCCAGTACAAGGCCCGCGTGAACAACATGGACTTCAACAACGACACCCCTCTCAACTGGGCGGCCATGAAGGGAAACTACCAGTCAGTCTGTGTCCTCCTCGAACACAACGCCTCACCGGACATCCGCAACTACGGCGGCATGATACCGCTGATGCGGGTGGCCATTCTGCTGGCGGCGGGGCTCCAGTCTCCAGACGACGAGAAGTCTTTTGAGCTACTCATCCGGTGCATGGGCAGGATAGAGCTCAGAGATCGGGACGGTGAACTCCCGGCCGTGCTTGCGAGGGACAACAAGTTGAGGTCGAAACTGATGGCGGTCTGCTGCACGCCGCGGCCCCTGATGCAGCTTGGGAGGCGTGTCGTGCGGATGTCCCTCGGGCAGCAGCATCTTCCGTCAATCGTGCCGTTGCTTCCGATACCGGAGCGGCTGCAGAGGTTTCTGCTGCTGGAGTTCTAGCGGCGGTTACAATCTTTTAGGTCTGTTCAGAACCCCCTATATATAAGAGGGCCTGGTTTGGTCTCCTGGTTTTGGAACTGCCCAAAAGAGGAGTTTGATGTGGGAGGACAAACACTGCCACCTGTCGTAATTCTATGCTGGAGGTGTTTTGAGAGGGTTGCGGTGATGATGGGGGATCGTTGGAATTCGGTATGAAGGAGTGCATCATTTGAGGGAATTACAGCACTCTTCCCTCTCTTTTCCTCAATCACATACTAGTCGTGGAGTCTGGTCTGGTGGGAGGGTCAGTAAATCGGCACATTTGTCGCGACTGTGGGGATAGGGAATCAATTATGTCTGTATATTCAATACTTGTAGAACTGTTATTTCCTTTTCTTTTTTTTTAGCAAGTTTGATAGTGTAGTGCCAAAGTTGTTTGAACAACAATTTTTGCAGCTTCTAAAATTATGCTGGGCAGATTTATTAAAAAATGAATAAGTTGGTCTTATTTAAGAGTCTAAAAAAAAAAACATAGGCAAGGTATGGGTGTGCGGACATCCAAGACATGAGTTCCGCATGCCGTTCTGCTTGCAAACTAGCTTTGGCTTATAATCGCAGAATGTTAAATAAGGTGCGACTCATTTTGTTTCAGTCGAGCCAATTCTGGTTTTATCCGGAATAAAAACTGAGAGCACATGCACTTTCCAAAGTACCACAATTCTTACTGCTTACTTAACCTTGCTTTCCAAATGAGCTGAGCCACACCCCCCCAATTTAGAAATCCAGATGGCAATAAAACTGTGCACCACAGAACTGTCACTGCATGAGGTCTGTATCATTTACTGCTTCTTGAATTGACAAATATAAATATATTACTGCAATTTGAGACCCCTTTTCATTCATTTGTGTACATTACTAAAAAAAAACACCCGTTTTGCTATTCCCAGCAGTAGGGCGGACTGCAATTCATGAGATCCTGGAACCGTTGCAGAATAAATCTTTGTACAACAGTGTACAAGATATACCTGTGTTTGGTGTTTTTGAGCTTGTTTTAATTTTAAAGTTAGCTACAATGTTTCTAAAACAAGGGTCGATGCAGGGAAGCTGGTACGCGGTCATACTGAGAGAATCGTCCCGAGACGGGAAAATGAAAAAAGAGGGCAAACAGCCTAGTGGTTATGGGGTTGGAGGGCGCAATTTCTGTGTAGGGTGTTTCAAAAATTGCATCCGTGTTTTTCTGACACTGCAGTGCTCATCATCTTTTTCGTTTTCCCTTATCTCTAAGTTTTCTCGGCACAATATTTTTTTTGTAAATATGTGCACGTGTTAAAGTGTACTAGCTTTTTTAATATGTATATGCAGGGGTAAGCACTAAATCGGCGCACTTTACATTCAAATGGCACGCGGACCACGTCACAATGTTAAATAAAAATATTTAATCCGGATGCATTTTTAGGTTTTGGTTTTCTATCAAAACAGATGATCCTTGCACCAGCGATCCTGCTACATGTGGCTAAGGCACAAACTACCTCTTTGCCTCCCTTGCAGGAGAAAAGCGTTGCGTGAGCCGGTGAAACAAAACATTGTGCCGTTTGAATGAAAATACAATAAGGCTTGAATAAGCGTCGCATATTAGCACATGTTAGTTGATCCGAAGTGTTAAAAAGCAATGCTTCGCCAAGAGAGTATCAGGCGTAAAAAAAATCGTGAGCAGCAGCAAAGGCTTTATTCGACACTTCAAGCAGAGCCAGCTCTTTTTCAAGACCAAGCCCTGCTCGAAACGTTGAATAAAGCTTCTTCTGCTGCTCACAATTTTTTCTAAATGTTAGTTGTGCACCTTGGTCACAGCAGACAGGACCGCTGGCATGGAGATGCGTTTTGAGACAAAACTTAAAAATGCGTACAAATGGAGCGTTTTTCCTGAAAGCTGTAAAAGTTTTGTGTGCCACACATTTTTGCAAAGTGCACCGATTTAGTGGTTTTTGATGGGGCCCAGATAGATTCTAATTGAGCTATTTATACCGAACATTATTACTTTTTCTACATAGGTCCTTCAGCAGAAATCAAAAGGACACCAAACTTTTTGGAGCGACTTGGCGTGTGTTGGGAGAAATACCCCGTATACGTGATAGCTGGACTTCTTGTTATCGGCAACGTGCGTCCCATCTCCAATCAATGGAACTTTACCCCCCACTACATCAAAGCGACTGAATGAATTGAAATACAATGAAAACAATCCAAACTGCACCTTGAAAGGGCATCAAACGACATCACACACCCTACGTACTTAAAAAAAAAAAATTTCACCCTCAAACCAAAACAAAACGTTCCACAGCATTATAGGGTGATACCAAAGATGGCAATCTGACCTTCCCTTTCTTTTGGAATTGGTAGTTGCCAAAATGAACAAGTCTGTTAATTTCTATTGGGGGTATTCACTGGATGCCATACTAGAGTGCACTCATGCTCAGAACGAGCTCACACTTGTATGTTCCCAAGACCGGCAATCTTGGTGTGGAATGCACGTTGCAAAAGCACTGTGTAAGCTTGCCATCAGCACTTGCCGAGCAGCTACACACTCAGCTATGGCCGCCAGTGAACTGCCCCCATACTTTGTTTCAGCTTGTCTAGATGTAGCAGACGCTACAAGCTAATGGGACCAATCAAGCAGTGTCAAAAGCGCAAGTCTCTGGGCCTTTCCTGTGTACGACTGGTTTTGACACTGTCCGATTGGTCAGATTAGCTCGTAGTGCTGGCTGCGTCTTGACTTGAGTTGAAACTAAGTACTTGCAACTTTCAAAGCCTATAAGAGGAGCACTAATTCCTATAAAAATGGCTGTCGTCTGGACGATTGTCGAAGAACAGCAAGACAAGGTTGGGTGTGTGATACATAGGCAATAATAATTTTCAAATACGAGCGATATAAAAGCCATACCTGATACTTCAACAGGAAGGGGTAAGCAAGCAGCTCTGCTTGGATCTCAAACATCAAGGAGCTAGGGAGCGCAATTCTCACTACGGTAGCACAGAGTTATTATAACGTACGCAAGAGGTTCAAATGTGTGCTGTGGAAAATTGAAGCAGACAGCAACCAGTCGAAAATTGACTTCCAGTAATGCATTTTCAAAATTGTGTGTACATTTTCTCCCTGCATTCGATAAGAGCAAATATCCCGAATAATTCATACATACTAAGTAGCTTGGAACATTTCTCAGTCAGACGGACGAAACAAGTCAGTAATGGCGTTTTGTTTCAAATTCATTGCATTAAAAACGATGCTAAAACGGCTACAAGCATGTATTTATGTGCATTGTCGGACACTATTAGCGCGAACACGATGTCAGCGCTATTGAGCATGGGGGATATACATGCCAAACGAACGAAGGATATCTGGAAAACCAAGAGAGACACCAAGAACTACTCAGTAACACTGGATCAGCAACTCCCTGTGCACGTACAATCTTAATCAATCGAAGGTCACATAATCTACAGATTTTCATCAAGTACTGCATTATTCTTTCTGCTCTGTGCAAAGACATTTGTTCTGCGTTCAAAACATTGCCCACGTGCTCGAAATGTTTGAGAAGTGGTGCCCAATAAAAGCTGCCTGGCGTAGAAAATAATACACCTTTCACAGCTTATATACTTCATTCTTTGTGTTTTGAGCGTTTTTAACCGCTCCTAAACATGCAAGACAGGGTCATTTTCATATAGTGACAGGACTGGCATATTAGCAATATATATGAATTAACAGAATGCTAGCAAACCTTGAACACACTCTACATTCCTTTTGATTGTTATTTTGCTTCAGGAGACACATAGCCTCCTAGCATATGTCGGAGGAACCCGGGTTCTCCGCAGAAGCAGCATCGCGAAGAAAAGTCAGTGAGGACTAGGAGGTGATTTCTGGTGGGGTGGGGGAAAGTGGTAATCTGCAGTGCAAGGAATATTCTTTTCTGTTCTCTAGGTAGTGATTTGTGTGCAGGAGGGTATGTTCTATGGGTTATCCTCTAATGCTGCGTGACCTCTTGGTAGGAGACGAGAGGGTGCATGCGCTCCGGTTCGGCTTCCTCGGCATCGGCTTGACGGGTCAAATCTCGAGCCACGAGGTTAGCAATCTCGTTGCCGGGAATGCCTTGTGGGCGGGCACCCAGACAATTCTGACTTGTCTCTTTGGAGGGTTCTGGTTGAGGAGTCGGAGCATGTAGGCACGGATGTGTCCACTAGCGAAGTTGCGATATGCCTGCCGAGAGTGGGTGACAATGACTTCGGTTTGAGTGAGAGCGAGGGCTATCGCCGCCTCCTCGGCTTGAAGGGAGTGATATGCTACTCAGATTCGTTGTTCATTATGACGGTAGCTGTTGTGGCTGCTCTGCCACCATTGCTTATTTTCACACACCTGTTGTGGAACACAGGTTTGGGACTGAAATACAGCAAATTTAAACATTGCTCATTAATGAAGAAAAATGCACCAACTAAAGCAATTACACATACTGTTTGTTATGACCCAAATAACAAATGTCCAGTTATTTTCCCATAGGAATGCACAGGAGCACCTTAAAAGTACACTGGTTGCTGTCTGCTTCAATTTGCCTCCCTGATGTCACAAGTGCCAGTTGGACCTATAACATACGTTATAACTCTACGGTACCACCATTGCTGAAAGCTGCGAATAACAGGACTTCGGCAGAGCAGCCAAACTGTCATTCTGAATAAAAGTAGTGAAAACAGTTTACATTTAGATCAGTTGGCATTTAGGACAGCATAGCTCTTTACAGCCAGGACTGTCTTTTTGCAATTGTTTATTATGCACAAGATCAAAGGTTCAATCAGGATTGGAAACTCGACAGAGGGGTGTAGGCAGATTAGCACTGGGAGCCAGGGTGTTGAACAGAACAAGAACAAAACTGAAAGCCCAGTATATTCTGGCAGAACAAAAACATAATAGACACTTATTACTTATCAGAAGTGAAAGGAATGTCAACTGGAACTGGACACTTTAGTGCAGGTAGCTCTTGATGTATCACTATATAGGTCAGCAGAACCAGGGGGTACCAGGCCAACATAGGAAACAACCAACGACTGGATGGTCCATCCATTTTATTGAATCTTTGTTCATGTTATTCCAAATACTTTTTTCTGTTTTGTTTGTAGTTGTTTACGAATTACTGAAATTAGGGGGAACTTTTGCACTTTCAATAGCAATGGCCTTCAATTGCCATACATGGTCACATAAGTGACCTTTGACCTGCCAAGCCCATCACAGCCAGTAACTGTTCTCTTAGTAAAGAGAAGTCAATTCTCCCCATGCACATTGCTAAAAAGCAGCAGCTATCAAAAGGGTGTACGACACTGAAACACAACGTTCGAACAAACAAGGCTTTTATTTGTCCGAAAAGAGGAAGAGGAACAAGTGAAAAACCAATTTGAAGACTTGCACAATGAAAACAAATTGTACAAAAGAGGCAAGTGACAATTTAAGGATGCAATGGATGCACTTGTAACGCTTGGTTAGCTAAACGGTAGAGAGCAAAGCTGTTCAAGCCTCTGCCTGGGCATCTTCGTCCTCGTCGAACTCCCCTTCGTCGTCGGCCGTGGCCTCTTGGTACTGCTGGTACTCGGACACCAGGTCATTCATGTTGGACTCTGCCTCCGTGAACTCCATCTCATCCATGCCCTCTCCGGTGTACCAGTGGAGGAAAGCCTTGCGACGGAACATGGCTGCAAGGAAAGGTGTGCAGGCCATTAGGAGACAGCTTGAGACAACCTAGAATTGCTGGTAAGGGCATGGAGGCAAGCTTCTGGATGTAACACCATGCCACCAAAGGTGAAGCCTTTGGTGGCATGGTGTGGAGGGACAACAAGTATGGAGGGACAACAATGACTAAAACTAAGGGACGCCATTGGCCGAAAAGGAGAGCCGAAACACCCGTTTTGGATCCCCCTTTCGTCAAATAGTCTTTGGGTCATTGTTGGGGGTAAGTCCCTTCACATTGCTGGCTTCACCTCTGGTGGAGTCATGTCACCTCCCGAAACTTCCTACCTCCACGAATAAGACACTTACGCTGCACACAACTTGCAACTTTAAAAGACTGCATAATGGTCTGTACTCCAAAGCGTGGCTAATCCGGTGCACCTAGTTCAAAGAACTGATACTCACCAGTGAACTGCTCCGAGATTCTTTTAAACAGCTCCTGGATGGCAGTGCTGTTGCCAATGAAGGTGGCAGACATCTTGAGGCCACGGGGCGGAATGTCGCAGACGGCGGTCTTGACATTGTTCGGGATCCACTCCACGAAGTAGCTGGAATTCTTGTTCTGCACATTGAGCATCTGCTCGTCCACCTCTCGCATGCTCATGCGCCCGCGGAAGATGGCAGCCACCGTGAGGTAGCGGCCGTGGCGGGGGTCGCAGGCGGCCATCATGTTCTTGGCATCGAACATCTGCTGGGTCAGCTCTGGCACGGTCAGGGCCCGATATTGCTGGCTGCCGCGAGACGTCAGGGGGGCGAAGCCGGGCATGAAGAAGTGCAGCCGTGGGAAGGGCACCATGTTCACTGCCAGTTTGCGCAGGTCGGCATTTAGCTGGCCGGGGAACCTGCGAAACGAAAAGCTGGCCATTAAGAAAGGGGAGCGGTGCAACAATTTGGACAGAGGACGTGGCACTAGTGATTGAACAAAGTCAATGGTACTATCACTAGCACATTGCCCCAAACGATACTGGCACTGCATAAGGATGCAGTACTTAACAGGGACCACGAACCCCGAGCTCACTCCAATAGATATGTACAACCCATGGGAAAAAAGTCGGAGAAATTCAGGATTTCTCCAACTTTTTAACGTAATTTCGTTTTACTCTAACGTAATTTAGTTTCACAGCGTGACTGCATGGCTGGTACCCAGCACATTAGCGTCGGAGCGTCCGCACGCGCCCGCATCTATCGTTTAAAAAATTAAAAGAAAAAAAAAAAAAAAAAGACTCGAGACGAGATTCACGAGACCGCGAAAGAAGAGACGGCGGGGAAAGCTATGCGAGACCGGATGGACGATTGATGTAACTAAAGCAAGGGTGCAGGCGAGCCGGTTCTTTGTCCTACGTCCAATCTTTTCCCCGGCTCCAGGGTTACAATGCCACGATTGATGCAAGGTACTTTGTGTCGGGCGGCTGCTTGCGCCACCTAGCCACGCATGCTCTATTACGGTACTCAGTTTCGTTTCAGTTTTGAAAGGCGACCAAAACTGGTACTTTGGCGCAGGCTTGGCACAGATTGCCCATATTTAGGCAAAATTTATGCAGGATGTAGCAAGGTTAGCCCCTTAGCGCAGCAATCACATCACTGCCAATGACATGCCTACAACAGACTCTCGCTGCCTTTTCTGTTGAAACGGCCATTTCCGCCCAAATGTGTTTTTATCCCATACTTTTATATATCTGCACTGCTGTTCAGGCCACTTGGCTGTTTGCAGGCATGCAAATAAACCCCATCCATCCAACTTTAGTTCTCGGGCAACTTCCCCTCTATATTGTTCACTTCACTAGTTTGTTGACATCTTTTTTGATCACTGTGCTGCGCTTCGTCAACGCCTTCATTAAAAATCGGTCAGCAACTGTACCTGCGAAAGACCATAGACATCTGGGAATCTCCCGCGAGGTTTCAGCCAATGGCTCCAGAACCCGATAAGAAAGCCTTATACCGTCCACTTTCGAAGAGTTAGGACTAACCTAAGGCAGGTGGTAACACCGGACATGGTCGCAGAGACCAGGTGGTTAAGGTCGCCGTAGGTGGGTGTGGTGAGCTTCAGGGTGCGGAAGCAGATGTCGTAGAGGGCCTCATTGTCGATGCAGAAGGTCTCATCCGTGTTTTCCACTAGCTGGTGCACAGACAAGGTGGCGTTGTAAGGCTCCACCACGGTGTCCGAAACCTAAAAAAAGAAAACCATGAACTCCTTTATAAAGTGGTACAGGCAGCAGCAATACAAGTGGATCCAGTTCAATGCCAGTTGAAAGGAGTAAGCTACAGCATGGGGTGCAGCAGCACGCTAAGGCACGATACAGACTGCCGCTTCGCGACAATACATGATCTGGCAGTCCCATGCAACCCCTAGATACAGTAACATATTCAAGGTTCCATGCATTGCTTCGCTGCAGCCCTAGCCCGATTGTCGCTGGCCAGTACCCTATACTTTGTGATAAAAGGACAGTGGGACTGGGAGGACAGACCTTGGGGGAAGGCACCACGCTGAAGGTGTTCATGATCCTGTCCGGGTACTCTTCCCTGATCTTTGAGATGAGCAGGGTGCCCATGCCAGAGCCAGTGCCCCCACCCAGGGAGTGGGTCAGCTGGAAGCCCTGCAGGCAGTCGCAGCCCTCTGCCTCTTTGCGCACTACGTCCAGGACAGAGTCCACCAGTTCCGCACCCTCTGTATAGTGGCCCTTGGCCCAGTTGTTGCCGGCACCACTCTGGCCTGTACGGACCAAGCACCCCGTCAGGACAAACACATAAGGTGGCCCACAACCTCGCGCCACTTTGAACACTGCCTGTACATTCCGTAGCCGAACACTCAATCCAATAACTATGCAGAAATTAACAACCCAGGTTTCATGAAATGTCCACTCAAACGCTGTAGTCACTGACAAGTAGCCAGAAAGAAGGAAACTCCCACATGAGGGAGTAGATCAGACACCCCCTCCAGCAGGGAGAGTGCGAGGGAATGAAAGGACACTAGGAACCCATTTTCTGCGTGATAGAACATCCTATAGCTCGGGCTTCAAGGGCCGAGGTGTGGGTAGTCGCAATCTATCTCATTGCTCAGTGGCCAATAAGCAAGTTTCACTTTACCAGGAGGCACAAGCGTGTTTGTGAGATATAACTATGCAACGCTCGCACCTGGCAAAAAGCGGCACTGGAGCATTTGAACATGCAAGTGATTTTACAAGCGCATTGCCTCGGTGCGGTAACCATGTGCCTGAAAAACTAATGAGTTGCCAAGTAAATACTGCTCTTTCAGCTGTCATGTTTTCTTCCGAACTCCTATCTGAATGAAATTCTGCAAGCTTAGCATCTGCAAACAACGTAGAAGTTCTACATTTAATTTGCGACTTCACTACTCTACCCTGCTCATTGGGGAGTGAAGACTGGAGCACACCAATCGGCACATTACCGCTAGTACCAGACACCATGTAGGTTGTCTGCCTGGCAGAAAGGGAAAAATGCTCACCAAACACAAAGTTGTCTGGCCGGAAGAGCTGGCCAAAGGGTCCAGACCGTACCGAGTCCATGGTTCCCGGCTCAAGGTCAACAAGGATGGCACGAGGCACATACTTGCCACCTTCAAGGCAAGAAAAAAAAGGTTAACACGGACCACATTTCAATTGAAAGCTTGCAGACTTAAACAATGGGCATATGAGACAACTGAAATAAAACAGTAAATTTTCAACATTATCCACGATTTGACCTAATTGATGCATTCGAGTGTTAATTAACTGTCATGGTAACCCACAAGCGGGGGGAAAGATGGGATAGACACAAAGCTTTCTGGAGCTTTACATTGACATGGTAACCCACTCCTGGGTTACCATGTCTGTATTGAACCAGCTTGCCTGCAAACTTGAAGTAAACTATTCTAATTGCAAAGCATCACAATGTGACAGGTACTGCACGTCAATCACTAATTCGATAAACATCTCATTTTATTTTTAAACGGCTATGCTGAGGAGACTATAGTACCGGAGGCCTCGTTGTAGTAAACGTTGATTCTTTCCAACTGAAGGTCCGAATCGCCGTGGTAGCTGCCGGTTGGATCGATGCCGTGCTCGTCGGAGATCACCTCCCAGAACTGCAGGAAGAAAATATACCAGAGGGTCAGCGAACTCCCCGAAATTCCACAACGGCAGCGCCGGGTTCACGGACCGAGGTTATTCCGGGCACGAGTGAACGCCGGTCCCATCAAGACGCGAGAAAAGGCAGCGCACAGTTTAGGCCCCAGAAGGGACTTCCCTAAAACCAGGCTCTTCGGTGCCCAGAAATGAAATGAAGGAGGCTAGAAAAAACGTGGCCGTTTTCAGAGGCGACGAGACTGCCTAAAATGGCGCGCCGATGGAACGAGGTAGCGGCGAGTAAGAGGTGGGGGGGTTACGTGGGCGGGAAAAGAAAAAAAAAAAAAAATGTCCAACAAAGAACAGGTTAAGAGCCAACTTACATAGAACGAGAGAAGGTTCAAGACAGCGGAAGCGGAGAACAAAAGGGGTTCGCACGTAAAATGAACGACAAACCAAAGGCGTTACTGGAACGAATGAGGTGATAATGGAGACGCCCTGTACCGGTAAAGTTGGCATTGGACACGCCTAGTTGAGCAAGACTTCGAATTTCACCACGCAAACGCTACAAATGTGACGGAAATTATTGAAGGGACCCTCGGTTCGCATCCCGTAACACCTGTGTTGCTCCGAATTTTAAAAACGGGCCACCTAGCAACTAACGGTTTGAATGACGGTTGATTAGGCCTAACAACTGCCAGAGCCGGAAATCGCAATGAGCGCCAGCGACAGGGTTTGAAAGATTAATTAAAATGAAACGCAGCATTCATACCTTTGCGCCGATCTGATTTCCACACTGGCCAACCTGAATATGGACGATTTCACGCATTTTTTGTTTTGGAGTGAAAAAAACCGTCGATGTAACAATGACAAGCAACGACCGCTCCCAGCTCTGCAACTACGAAAAACGGCGCGCCCCAGTGCTATTTATAAATTTCCCTTTCTACCCTCGACCCAGAGCGCCACCGAGCTGGTAGATTCTATGCGCATGCGCCATTTGGTTATTTCTTTTGATTGGCCTTTTTGAAGCACGTGATGCCCAAACCATAGAGTTATTATAGACCATTTTATTTAGCGCTCTCTGGGCGGCACCATTTTGTTCGACAACAGCGCCCTCTCTAAAGATCCGGGAAATTCAGCGGGTTCGGCCAGTTCGGCCGGTGGGGTAAAAAGAGAGAGAGGGCACGCTTCCCGACTCCTGTAGCAGACGACAAAACGGCTCCATCTTTGGCCTGTATCGGCGGGTTGTACGGAACATCGAACTCTCGCTCGTGGCTGCCGTTGTGAAGTGGTTCGTGTTGAATAGTTATGGCTACTCCAAAATAAGCCTAGAGGTCTCTGTTGTTCTACTTCGGTAAATGATCAACTGACATATCTTTTTTCCGTGACTTAAATAGCAGTTGAGTCAGCCGGCAGTACTACCCTCAACTACTGCGTGTATTGCGGCAGGAGAGCACGTTTTTATTTATTATTTCAGACATCCACTCATAGTCGCTAAAGGCCTACACCAGTCAGTAGGTCTGTTCGATTCGCCTGAACTGGCTGAACTAGTTCAGCAGTGCAGGAACTGGTGCATTCGATTCAACCGGAAGTTGCACGGCCGTTGCACTGGCGCGTTCGATTCATCCCAGTTCTGAACGAGTTCAGACCCAGTTCATCAAAATCTTGCACCGGCTCCAGAGTCAGTTCAGCGTCCGTGCAGAAGCAGACGAAAAGAGCAGACGGCGATAGCAGACGACACTCCTCGTCCGTCTCTGCTCGCGGTGCCGTTTTTCGCAGCTCTTGCTCAAATGTCTGCGATGTTTAACAATAACGCCGATACGGACATTGCATTTCATCTCATTTATGATAATAATGTACCCTCGGTGGACGCGGAATTGATATCATAACTGGGGGTAGGAATTTGATTGATTATGATATTCTGAAAGCGTTTAGGCACCTGCTCGTGTAGGTTTGGCTTCCTGTGGTAAGTGTTGGAATACTGGCTCACGTAAATTGCTTCTTTTTGATGCCATGTGGGGATCCACAGTGTTGATATTCTTCCTTAGCAACACGGGAAAGGTAGTGCACTCTTGATAGGCCCCGCCTTCAGTTGCTCTTGGATGTATTCTGACGACTCTGATACATTGCAGAGGTCTGGAATTTAGTATATTGACCCTCGCATGCCCCGCAGATGAGCATGATACCGCATGCTTTGTCCGCTGATATCTGGACGCCCACTAACGGGCCTGGGAAAAACGGCGCCGAGAATCGGCATTGGCTTGGTAGTTCCATGCAGGTCTTTGTTGAGGATCAGCATAAACGCTTCAGCTTGACGCCAAAGTTACGGTTGATAACTGTATTGGCCAAAACGCTATCGTCAGGCCTTCGTCTTCGAGGTAACCGTAATCGACCGCGCGCTGCCGCCAGTGACTCCCGACGCAAAATCATCCTGATGCCGCGAACCTATCGTCGAAATGCGGAACTCGGGAGACTTGGAATGAATCTACTGATGCTAAATGAATGTGAAGGACACGAGCGCTTATGGAAACGAGATGAACTGAACAGCCGTTAAAAATGCAGACAGAAACACATTTCGTGCAGAAAACGTTTTTAGTAGCCGCGAATAAAAAAAATATTCACAGGGAAGATTCCGTTACTATACTTTAAAACTAAGGAAACACGAATGGTCTCATCAAACCGCGACTCAATAAAGGTCGTATCCGACGTGGCGAGGAGAAACAAGAGCCAACAGATGCAGACGACACCCATGCAGCGCTTCCGCTCGGAAAGCCGATCACAGCGCCAGTCCTAGTTCGGCGGCTGCACTGGTTCTGCGCCGCCGCTGCACGACTCCTGCACTCCTCTGAACTCGGACAGAACTAGTTCAGAACTTTCTGGCCGAATCGAACAGACCTAGTACGAACTTTGTAGAGTAAAAAAGGTACAGCCACCGGATTCACTTTTCGCCGGAGAGACCGGGCAGTCAGACACAGTTTTCCCTATTTTTTTTTTTTTTTGCACGCAGGTAAAAGCACAATTGGACTCTGTTAGTCTTTTTTTATCTAGCATAGTAATACACGATAACTGGCATACCAAAATCTGCGCATCTGCGCTTGAAATTCCCAAAATGACACGATTTTAAACAGAGTTTGTACACCAGCCGGATGCTAGGCACTGCCCACTCGGCGGAGCAGACGACACACAGGCGAGAGGGAGAGGGCATTTTTTTTTCTCTTTTTACCCTCTCCGCTAGAGGTTCAAGTGGCGCTAGTGTGCTGATGCAAATAAAGTCCCTCCATGATGCAAATTGAAGCAGACAGCAACCAGTCCGAAAATGACTTCCGGTAATGCATTTCTATGGGAAAGAACGAGTGCATTTTCTCTGCGCTCGTTTATAAGAGCAAATATCACGAATAATTCGTGCGTACTAGGCGCATTGGAACATTTCTCAGTCACGCAGATGAAATAATTGGTCAGTTACTGCGTTCTTCTTTCAAATTCGTTGCATTAAAAACGGTGCTAAAACGGATTCGTACGTGTATTTATGTGCACTGTCGGACACTGTTCGCGCGAACACGACGTCGGCGCACTGGATCAGTAACTACCAGTGTATGCACGATCAAAATAAATTAAAGGCCACGTAATATATTCCGATTTTAAGTAAGTAAGTACCGCTTTATTATTTCTGCTCTGCGCGAAGATGCTTGTTCTACGTTTAAAATATCACCCGCACGTTCGAAATCTTTGAGAACATGTGTCTGCATGCATGCTTAAAGGTATCCGGCAGATAAAACAATACGAAGAGACACTTTTCACGGCCCATGTACTTTATTGTTTACGTTTTGAATGTCTCTATCCGCTCATGCACAAAAGGGTCATTTCCATATAGTGAGAGGACTGGCATATTAGCAATATATAAGCGTCACCGGGATTCTGGCGAGCCTTGAACACACTCTATATTCCTTTCGGTTGTTATTTTGCTTTGAATCGTCGCATGTTTTTACACACCTGCTGCGGAATACATGTTTCGTACTGAAATGTAGCGAAGTTAAGCATCGCTCACCGGTGAAGAAAAGTGCGCTAACTAAAGCAATTACAATTTTAAAATATTAATCAAGGTACATACTATTCGGTACTACCCAAATAACCAAAGCGTTCAGTGTTGTTTTCCGTCGAAGAGACAAAATGCAGGCGCGTTTTCCCATAGGAATCCACAAACGCACCGCAAATGTAGACTGGTTGCTGTCCGCTTCAATTTTCGTCACGGAAGTCGCATAGACACTAGCGCCAGTTGACTCTCTAGCGTACGTTATAATAACTCTATGGCCCAAACTGCCTGTCAGCTTCTTTCCAAGAGGGTGTCCAGGCCCGATGCTTCACCTCACAACACGCACGTAAGTTTACGTAGCGGCGCCTGGCGGACGTTCGTTTTTTCTATTTTTCTAGCATGTTGTATTCACATTATTATTGAAGATATATCATATACATGTTTTTTTAACAACATGTGGAACACTGTTCTGGATGTGACTGTCCTGATTCAAACGAGTTTCCCTCGTACAAAATACGATAAGGATGGCTAGTGTCTATGCGAGTTGGGCTAGTTGGTTTTGCATCATGGTGTAATACGCCAAAACAACAGGGACAAAAACGAAGATAGAACCAGACAGGACGCGGCGTAACTTTCAACTGAATTGTTTATTTGGATGACAGAATTAAAAAAAAAAAAATTAAAATATAAAAGCAGGCACACTTGGCAGAACACCAAAGATATGGTCTAAAAACACACCCCCCTCAAATGCCAGCGTCATTGGTTCCTCAAATAGTAGAATTCTTTATCACTCAATGACAAAGAGGGAGCGCTTATACAAGTATTGTCGTGGTGGGACCTAATCAGGAAGGCTTCATGAATTTCTCTTGCCGTTTTTGGTTTGTAATGGCCCATGACACAGGTGTCACCAAAGATGGGGCTGCACTTTTCCGAGTTGGGCCCGCGATCGCAACGGTCAAAGTGGACCGCTAAGTGGCCAAACGGGGACTGCCTGATCGCCAACGCATGCTCTCTGACCCTATCATTAATGCACCTCCCCGTCTGGCCAACGTACACCTTACCACATGACAAGGGGATTTTTTACGTGACACTGGTGGCGCACTCGCGGAACTTAGTGACATGTCGTTTTTTGCACGACTCTTGTGGCACATCCGATTCCCCTCCTAATCTGCTTATCTTTTTACACAGTGAAGGTAGTTTATTCGGTGCTGAAAAAACGACTGGTATGTCAAAGCGATGGGCCACCTTCAGATTGTGGGATATCTTGTGAATGTAAGGCAAGACAACAGGCCTACGTACCCTCTTGGGAGCCCTTTCGCACACTGCGCTGTTGTCTTTTTTCATCTTTTTTGCTAAAGTCTCTGAAACATCTCGAAGAACATGAGGGGGGAACCCTGCCTCTTCAAGTCTGCGGAGTTGAGAATGAAAACTGTTTTTCATCCGGTGGGGGCACGATTTCTTTAGCGCGGCCCTTAGGCGAGATGAAGCAATGCCCCTCTTCACTAACTTGGAGTGCGCCGAGCTGAATGGCAACATTCCTTTCTTGGAACGGGGCTCATACGCCCAGCAGGTATGCTCCGCACCGAAATATAACCCAAGATCCAAAAGCTGCAGCCGACCAGAAACCGATGTCTCGTGGGTGAATTTTAAGCCGAAAGCGCAGCTTGCGAAAAGTTTTAAAAAACCCGCGATCGCTTGATCATCCGCAATTACAGGGCGGGAAACACACACCAAATAATCGTCTACGTAACGAAAAATTTTAACATGTTCCTTCTGTTGAATTTTTTCAGATATACGCTTGTCGCAATTTGCAAGAAAAATGTCACACAGTACCGGTGCTACAGCGGAACCGATGCAGATACCACGTTTCTGCACAAACAACTCTCCCTC